CCCCCCCCCCTTATGTGCCCATCCCCCCATGTGAATCACACCTGGCACACACAAACACACACAGAACAATTTGATGCATTTCCCGCTCTTATGTGCCCATCCCCCCACATGGATCACACCTGGCACACGCAATACATGTTCAGTGTCTATTCTTTGTATATTTACTGCAGTTTTTCATGTACCAGTAGTCTGATACAATATGTACAGTTTGAAAGGGTATTAAATGAAATGTGGTGATGATTAATGGTTTTTGTGTTAATGTAATAGCAGTTAAAACAGGACCGGTCAAATTTGACGGCGAACACCAAAGTAAGGGGGGGGAAACGAAGACAATAGGAGGGTTAAATACAATGGTAACGCTAATGGCACTTAGCTTGTGGGGCTCATAGAGGCAAATAAAAACATAAAAAAACTAAATAGAATGTTACTCTTTCAAGAAATCATGACCCCGTTACTCAAGATAATTCACAGAATATGTTGTTTGCAAACATGAACAATTTTGTTTTTGAGCGTATCACTTTTCCGTAGGAAACATATCTTCTTGTGGACAAAAGGCTCTCCTTAGCTAAAGCTAAAGCTTAGCGGATAAGGGCATACGTTTAAATCTCATGCTGCTGCATTTCTCTTGTCCATAAAAGGGTGCCAACTTACTTCAAACAAATTCATGTAAAACTATATACCTCTTAAATAGGCTGAAATCAGGCGTTTTGAGATTCCAAATAATAAAGTTAATACCATGTATTTTTCTCCCCTAAGTATTGCCTTGTAAATGTTCCTTACCTAATGTTGGTGTCTGTCTTTTTGTGACTTTGCGTCATCTAAATACACAGTGTAAAAATCAAGGAACTCCAGCTCATCGTAATTCCAGTAATATTTGTCAGAGAAACTCACTCCAGGCAAGTTGTTTTTATAAGTATAGGTTTACGGGATTCCTCTGGTTCTAATATGTGCATTAGACAGTCCGTAAATTCCTCGACAACAACACAGACGGACATTCTGTATGTGTGTGTGCATGTGTGTGTGTTCGGTGTGTTTGTGAGAGAGAGAGAGAGAGAGAGAGAGAGAGAGAGAGAGAGAGAGAGAGAGAGAGAGAGAGAGAGCGCGAGAAGCGAGTAGAGAGAGTGAGGAGAGCGAGATAGAGAGATAGAGAGAGCTCGAGAGCTCGATCGGGCCTGGCTTCGATTCTCTCGCTCGCTAGCTCTCACTATCTACTCGGCTGCTCTCTCTCTCTCCCCTGATGCGACTGCTCTTACTGAGAGACTGAGAGACTGGGCTGTTTAAAGGTGTGCCTTACGTAAAGGGGCCACTGTTTTTCCCCAAATGATGACAGTCTCACTAGAGAGCCTGTGGGGGAAATCAGGCTAAGATTTAGCAACCTCTGACTACCAAAATTTAGATAAAAAGAGGGGTAAATAAAAGATAAAAGTGAGTTTGTTCTTTAAAATATTTCCCTAAAACATTTTGCAGCACTGGTCTGTTTTAATCTTTGATTGACAGCAGCTCACATATTTCCCATAGCTCGTCTCAGTGGTCTTGTATTCTCATTTGAGAAAGGAAGTCAAAGATTAAAATCTAAAGATGTATCAAATTCGACAGCTGTGTCTGCAGGACTGTCTAAAGAGAAAATATTTGTTTTCATGTGCCTGCATCATGAGACCCTCAGACATGCTGAGCAGCATCATCCTGTCGGTACACAGTGCTGCAATGAAGCATGGGTAATGGAGGATTCAGGGTGATGATGGAGTGGCGCATGGAGACCAACATGTTGATAACTACTCTCCCTGGCCTCCCTTTTGACCTGATGCCAATCATTTGTTTTCCACCAGCACTCCACCATCTGTCTCCAAAAACACATGCACACACACACACACACACACACACACACACACACACACACACACACACACACACACACACACACACACACACACACACACACACACACACACACACACACACACACACACACACACACACCCATCAGCACGGTGTCTTGTGTTTAATTTAGTGGATGTTCATTTGCTTACCATCCATGAAAGAGTATACTGTCTATGACACGGTAACAAAGCTGCAACTAACAATTATTTTCATCATCTATTGATGTGCCAATAAATGTTGAAGATGATTGATGATTAAATTGATGATTGATATTAAGGTACATTTTGTCAAAAAAAAAAAGTATTACTTTTACTGTCTGGTTGCCAGCTTAGTGAACCCGGAAATGTTGAGTACCCCAACGTTTTATGATAGAGATGTATTGTATGGGTCCCCAGAACATAGAAACTGCCGGGTGCTAACTTGCATATGTTGGGCAATTATGTTGGGCAATATATAATCTATAAATGTCAGAAAATTGTGAAAAATGTCCAAGATGGTCTCCTCAAATCCAGTCCAGTTTGTCCAAAACAATACTAAATTATTGTGTGCACAGACAGAGAGATCGAAATACCTTTTCCCACAATCCCGAAGAATACAAAATACAAATATATATACAAATATGTATACAAATATGTATATATATACACAATCAACAGACACATTTATACATATGCACACATTAAAGACATAAATAAAAGCACAACAATCAATATATACAAAATAACAGTCACTTCAAAATCTGTGAAAAATGTACATTAGTGCAAGATTGTCCATAGCAGCATAAAAAGTGTCTGATGCTGGATATATCTACAAGAGTGATCCCCTTCTTCTACTTCTTCTTCCTCGTTAAAGGTACCTGGCTCCTTGCAAATGACATACTTCTCTTGAATGACCTGGGGACCCTGTCCAGCTCTGAGGCCCCTGAATCATCCTCACTTTAACAGTCACCGTTAAACTAACCTCCAGCTCCTGGGCTGAAAAGGCCCACCCATATTTTCAAGCCTTAAATATCTGACCTACGGAACAAATCTGCTGTTACTCCAGATTCCTGCAGGAGAGAGGATCTTAGGCTGGAGATAAAAGGGATGGAGAGATGGAGAGAGAGGTTTTGGGTGGATGTTGACGTTACACATCCTGTCTCCGTCAAGTAAGGCCACAGGGCTCGACTCCCAGTCAGAGCGATTTTACAGTCAGTATAACACTTCGTTATATCCGAACAACAGATTTGGTTACATCCACTTCTGTTTTATACAGGGTTACATTTACTAATCCAGTGGGAAATATTTTTAATCAGTAACCTTATCGATAACAACAAAAAAGTAATGTTGCAGATTACATTCCGTTACTTTTGGATTACCTCAATATCTAATACAATGCCATTAAAGACAATACAAAGGAAATATCTATCAAGCATACACAGTAGTTTTGCTAAACACATCATGTGTCTATCTACAGCAGGGGTCCAAACTACGGCAGTTGGTCCCCGGACCAACTGCGACCTATTGTCCACTTTGAATTGGTCTTCAGCAAATTAAAAAAATATAAAGGTATATGGGCCACACCTGAAACTTGTGCTTTTCTTATATTGTACTCCTTAAACATATATGTAAACATATGATACAGTATTCATGTGTTAAGAAGCCCTCTCTCAAATGAATTCAGTCAATTAAAGTTGAAAACATTTTCTAACAAATCTTAGTTGATAAAAAAAAGGCCTGATAACTTATCTGTATGAAAAGCTTGAAATATAGCCTTCATATTTCTCTTTATTTAAGCAATCTGAGGTTCTGTATGTTCAATCTGTATGTAGCCCTGAGTGACAGTACACCCCTGATCTACAGCATTCAAACAAAAGAAGAAGAATGAAAGTAGCCTAAATGAAAACCGGCGGTATCCTACCTATACTAAATAGTGGATTTTGAAATAGTATCATTTAGTAAGCATTTGCCTGTACCGTGATAATGAACTGGAAAATGAGCTTTGGTTTTACTTCGTAATATGTCAATCTTTATTCTAAAATGTATTGTATTATGTAGTACATTGTAATCAGACAAGTGTTCCCCGTTTAAAAAAAGGAATTTGATTACATATTTTTTATGAAACTGTAAGGGAATACAGTGACCTTTTTAGTGTCCTGATGATGTCATCCTGTTACATTTATTCTCCTTACCCAAGCATGGTTAAAAGTCAACAATCCCTTCAAAGAAGAATTTGTAAAGGGCTACTTTAGTTAATTAAACATTGTGTTTCCCTTTGCAATTGATATACTCCTAATACACATTTTATAAGGCATTCCTTCTAATTCCGTGTTTGGTTTTATTCTAATGGCACACAGGGCTGCAGTGGTAAAGTCGTTACTGCCACCTAGTGTCCCTCCAGCTCACTACACCATGATGCAGACTGGACCACTCTCCAGAGGCCTGACCATAATGAAAAGGGCAAACAGGCCTACTGACTACATCGATCAGATTTGACAGTCACAGGAAGAGGGAGGCAGAGCTGTAATGTCTTCGATGCATATCAAACCCCCATTCATTTAACATCTTTGCAGAAGAGCTGGATAATTAGATTTCTCATTATAGATCACTCAATGATAGGACATGTGGTGTGGAGGACACATTTGTGAATCGGAACAGAGGTTGTCCTGGGAGAGGTTAAAGCAGAATGGCAGCGTCCATTCCACATGAGCGCCTCCATCAGCTCCCTGGCCTTTTTTATCCAGTTAAAGCCCGTGGGCATTTTTTTCAAACATGGATCGTGACAATGTCAAAGTCATCAAAAATATGCAGCTTAATATGGGACAGGAAATGCCTGCCATGTTCTGTAGCATGAATGAAACGCTAGGAACGACAGCTGTTTTTCTGCTCCTATACTGCAGGGGATCTGAAGGAGCGCATCCACCTCTTCTGTTGCAGCGATGCGCAGCCGTGCCGCATGACTCACAACCAACGGCACGGATGTAAACAGGGGGCGGGCTCAGGTAGGCCAAACCTGTACCTGCTCAGCCAATGGGTGCGCCGCGTTGCCCCTCTTTCGTCTCCAAACCGGCGCTTCTCATTGGTCCGCCGCCGCGTCGAATACGCTGTAGAGAGGAGCGAGGCGCAGCGTCGCAATTTACACCGCGGAACGCAAGGAAGAGGGGGGCGAGGAGAAAAAAAAGAGAGATTAATCTGTCAAATTTGTGTTCGGGATGAGACCGCTCTGACATTCAGCCGTGCGGAAAAACAGAAAGCCCACATGCGAAGACATTTTAATCACAGCAGTTGGGGATCAAGCTGATGCACCGCCATAGCAGGTGGTGCTTGTATAATCGTCCGGGGTCTCGTCTTTGCTGCCTGATCTGCGCGTCGCTTCAGCACTGGACAGCGACCATCGGAAAACACTGAGGCGGGGTAGGCTGCTCACAACACCAAACACCTTGTCATGATAAATGCTCACTGCATGCTATTCTCTTTTATTATATATCAACGCGCATCTGCACGACGTTTGTTGTTGCCTTGGTTTCATGTCAATCGCGCATGATTTGTGGATCCTTGTTTCAATATGGAGCCTCCACTCATCAAATGCCCTTGAAAGTAGAGGCTTCGTGTATGTATGTGTGTTTGTGCAAAAGAGAGAGAGGTTATGGTGGTTCTGCTGAGCAACTGCGCAATTGTCTGTCCCTGTCTGTTCTCATCTCTCTCTTTTTTTTTCTGCACCCCTCTCTTCTTTTGCTCCTCAGTCGGTGCGACCCTCGCTTGGCTCGGGGCAATGCGCGGCTAGATGACTTCACTACACGAACAAGCACCGCGGTATCCTGGACTAATATAGCAGCGCCACAATCCCCCCCCCCCCTCCATCCTCTCTATCTCTCTGTCTCTCTCTCTCTCTATTTCTATTCGCTGATCCCAAAGGCACCATGGGAAACCGTGGCATGGAGGATCTGATCCCGCTGGTCAACAAGCTGCAGGATGCCTTCAGCTACATCGGCCAGGCGTGCAACCTGGACCTGCCGCAGATCGCGGTGGTCGGCGGACAGAGTGCCGGGAAGAGCTCCGTGCTGGAGAACTTTGTAGGCAGGTAAAAATGACCACCACAAATAGGATAATCCCTTCGCCTGGTAACCTTGAGGATGACATAAGAGGCCTATGGGGCCAATCTCTCTCAGTGGAGAGTTCAAACCATCCAGCTTTAAGGCTGTTGTTGTGATGAGCAGAGACCTTCACGAGCAGAATATTATTTTATTATAAAACCCTGGCTCCTGACAGAGTGGTATTTGGGTTACAGCAGCATCTTTGGGGATTTCACACTGCAGTCCTCCTCAGTCCTAGAAATATCAGTTCCCAAGAACCCTTTGCAAGGCATTAATATGCAGTTGACCCCCAAAAATATGATGTCATATGCTGTGTTGTATAAACTGCTGGTTGCAGAGATGCATCACTGCATGTGTTCATTTTAAGAACACCATCCATACTGTAGGCTATATGTCAGCTCCCACTCCTGAGAACACACATGAATATTCATCTTCTCGCTCTGGATTTTGGTCACTCGCAACAAATAAATTATGAGCAGGGGCTTTGGGTTTTTTATTCAAGACAAGGATCAGGCAGCCAGCGGTGACATGATGTTGGTCACATCAAGTACAGTGTTAAATCAGTCCATTTGAAATACAGACACATCCCACAACAACTGCCCAACAACATGTTTTATGCCCAACAATGTGGTACCTTTCTGTGTTAGAGCACATGCATTCAAAAGGGTTGGATATATATATTTTCCGGAATTGTACATTTCAGGATTTGCTGTAAAATGCACTTAAGTAATTAGTAGCAGTTCATGTGCTGTTGCAGTGTCTATGCAAATGTAATTCATGTTAAAAATCAAAGTGTCACTTCACAAAGGTCATTGACTCGCTATTGAGAGCACTATTAGGCCTCTGAAAGCAGCTGTATTATAATGTGGCTCTGGAGTTCGCTTTTCAAAATGTGTCACCTTGACGATGTCATCAGGGTCATTTATGATGATGTCATTAAGGTTGTTTGAATTCGGGCAAACGCTTAGTAGAAAACATTGGGAAGTGGAGATGTTGAGGAACAGAAAACAGAGCAGGACATATATAAGAAAAGATGCTGTTGAGTTGCATTATGGGAAGGATTAAATGCTTTTGAAGCCTGACAAACTGTAGGGACTTATCTCTGCTTCTGTTGCTTCAATTTCAAGCTTTTATTCATTCTGTCGCTCAAGTCCCCCAATTTGTGGAAGTGCAACATGAGCTGGATTGTCTTCAGTGGCTTCTTTCTGTGCCGTTTTGAAATGCATGTGTGCAGCTCCAGATGGATGCATTGATTTGTCCAGTTCCAGCCCTCATTGAGAGTCGTGATGCTGAGTAATGGTCCATCTGTCCAGACCTGGCCCTGCACAGCGCTGAATGGACAAGTAGTGGGCTTGTCTTTATTTATTTTTAACCTCTTCCCTGTTGAGGGAGCTCCGTGGGTCGATATGTATTAATAAGGTTGTCTTGGAACAGACCTTTAGCACAGGACGGGGTTTTGAGGGCTGTGGTCAGGTGTGTGACATTGTAATCAGAATAAACATACAAGGATTTTGCTTTTGTGGTGCATACATCCACACAATAACAAGAATTCAGTTCAGAAATATATAACTTTTTTTCAAAGGCTATTGTAAAATAAAAGAGATATATATATATATATATATATACAGTACACAGCAAAATGACCAATTACAAATAAAAATAAAACAAGTGCAGTATATAGAATTTAAAGTGGAACAGTAGTGCAATTTTAAGAGGTATTTTTCTTAACACAAGTAGGGAAATCTAAAGCCAAATGTGCAAAGTGCACGGTATTTTATAAGAGAAAAGGATCACATGATGACAGTAATGGTGCATTTCCACTACACGGCCTTGCTCGGTATGGCTAGGCCTCGTTAGGACTGGCTCACTTTATGGCGCATTTCCATTACAGTTTAGGAACTGGGGTAGTATCGCAGTAACGCAGTGTAGGCGGAGCCGTGACGTCATCTTCAATGAGAACCCCAGAAAACCAACATCAGCCGTTAGCTGTTAGCACTCAGAGCTCACAGTTCCTCATATCTGTTCAGAAACTAGACAAAAGTTAAACAAGTACAAACCACAGACTGTCTGTGTCATGGTGAATACAGTCGCTGGTTTATTTATGTCTGTATAGGCCGTTGTTGTGAGTGTGGACGGTCAGAGCATATACTGCGTTAGCTTAGCCGATCTCCATTCAGAAAACACGCATTTTAAAAGGTTTTTCGCCTGCCGTCTGTCTGCAGACTTGTCAAAGCATTAATTCATGGTTTTTACTAACCGGTATCAGTATGTTGTTACTTCGGCATCATTTTGAAACGTGTATTACAATTAAATCACGGTCAAATATGTTCATCTTGTTGTAGTTGTAGCCCCCTTGCCAGCGATTCTCTCTCTAGTTTAGCAAACTCAGCCCGACTCAGCCTGGTTGTTGGCCCGGAAAGAACCTCGATTTTATGGGGCCAGAAAAACTGTGAAATAGTACCCGCTAGCCGGTACTACGCTAAGTGGAAACGCAACCAAAAAACGGGCCCCGCACGGCTCGGCACGCTTAAAGCGAGCTCCGCGCTGTAGTGGAAATGCGCCATAAATGTAACACATAATGTCTATAGGGGGAGTAAAGACAGTCTAAATGTCAGTTGGGGTCACAGGCCTTGTAATGGACACATTATCCCACACACTCAAAACAAGTTGGTGTTGAACCTCTCAGAAAATGGTGACGTTATTGTTTTAAACAGGACGGCTCTTAATCAGGGACGCTGCTCTTTATTTGGACCTGTTGTTTATCAAGCCAGATTGTCCTCTTGTGTTGCAGAAGCAGCAGCTGAAAGCTTTAGGAGTTGCTGTTTTATTTTAAAATGGCCTCTATTCCACTCATTGGACTGGTGTGAACCAGATTAGTGACATCGAAGGGCCTACAGTGGCTGTCATTCCATTATATAAGGTGTAATTATAATACATTTGCCCTTCAAAGGGAAAAAAAAGCCTCAAGATGAAGATACCATTATGTCACAAATAGCCATGTCTGTAAACTCTTTGATGCATGCTTTATTGACTGTGGTTTGATGGAATGAGTTTTGATTGGCTGTCTTTCCTCAGGGACTTTCTGCCCCGTGGATCTGGCATTGTCACCCGCAGGCCCCTGGTTCTGCAGCTTATCAGCGCCACTGCAGGTGGGTGCGCACACCCCCACACATGCTAGCATTCACACACACAAAAACAGCCTCCCCCTCTCCTTTTTTAAAAATGTCTGTGTTTTTTATGCTTTCTTTTTTTTCCCTTCTCACACTGGCATCATTTTGGCTCTCTGCTGCCACCACTAATCCCAGTTATATGTCTCAATGTTCCTCCCTCCTAGAATGGGCTGAATTCCTGCATTGCAAAGGGAAGAAGTTCACAGACTTCGATGAGGTCCGTCAGGAGATCGAAGCAGAGACGGACCGCGCCGTCGGGGCCAACAAAGGCATATCCCCCATCCCCATCAACCTGCGGGTGTACTCCCCTCACGGTGCGAAGACAGAACTCAACTTACACTGTCAAGTAACATCCCACAATAACACATTTGTATCAAAGTACAACGTGACAAGCTGTGAATCATCATACTCTCGGGCATTTCATTATAAGCTAGCATAAAATGTTTTCAAAACTGGGTCGATCATTACAAACAAAGAAAGGGATTTTGCTAGCAATATAATTATACAGAATATGAATGCATTTCTATGTTCTTAAGGAGTTAAGAAAGGCGGCTCAACAGCCTCTGTGTTAATATGGCTAGCAAACATGCTATAGCCTTGCTAAAGGCCTACTGATGCTACGTTGATGCTATACTGAGGTCTTTAGATTGTTTGAAGTGAAAGCTGTCCTGGTCCTTTACAACCAGGGCCTTAAAATGAAGGGGACTAATTCATGGAGCTTCATACCCTCTATCATCCTCCATTGTGAATAAAACTGATGGTGGATGTTTTTTTGGAATTAGCTTTTAGCGGTTAGCTTATAATTTATAATAAGCTACTTACAGTAGCTTCATTTCCTGATATCAACCTCATATGCATCCTGCAGGTAGCACCCACTATTATTACCACTTACTTCTTGAAAGGCTGAGATACAGATCGATGGTTATAATGGCTAATTATTAACAAGGCCTTTATGGGTTTTACACAAACATTTTCTTCTTCATTTGTACATTCTAAGAGGGAGATTGTGTATATCGGGCAGTCCTATAGGCAAAATGGAAATGGAGTGATCTAGTTCCCTGGTGATTCCCATAACATTTCCAGGTATTTTTTATCCTGGACACCTAATGTTAGCAAGAGCAAATGTAGCCCAGATATAATGTAGTCTTTCATCACTAAAGTTTCATTAAAAACATACCGTTTTTGTAAACAGAGACTAATGATATTTTGGGTCGGGGGTCTAACTAAACATATGGTTTTCATTTCAAATGAATTGTTCATGCTGAAGAGGACACTAGTAAAACATAAGCCACTTAGCTAATAAATAAGTTAATTAAATAAGTGGATAGGCCTACCCCTTTTTGACTCACAATAGGCCACAGTAATGTTGAGCATCCATGTACAAGTATACATGTTACAATGCACCTTTAAACCTTTTACTGCTAATTATTACTTAAACATTAAATACAAATATTTTCTTGTGCACATTTGACTCTTAACTTAAATATTTTAATTCTATATTTTTATTTATCTTTTATTTATCTTTTATTTTATTCTAAAATGGAGCAACTGTAACGAAAATGTAATATTCTAATTGTGATTCTTCCGTGTGTGCAGTGTTGAACCTGACCCTCATCGATCTGCCGGGGATCACCAAGGTGCCGGTTGGTGACCAGCCGGTGGACATCGAGCAGCAGATCAGAGACATGATCATGCAGTTCATCACCAGAGAGAGCTGCCTGATCCTGGCCGTCACCCCGGCCAACTCCGACCTGGCCAACTCCGACGCTCTCAAACTGGCAAAGGACGTCGATCCACAGGGTAAGGAGAGAGCGAAATGGAGATAAATGCAACAGGTAAAAGGTGACCTTGTGATTAGTGAGACTGACCTGGACAATACATTGATTCTCCGTCAGCTGTAGCGATGGTGCTCAGTGTCTGACCTTGTTCTCTGACCTCTCTGAATGTGGAAACAGAATTTATCCACAGGGAGAGTCATTATTATTAGAAACACGGGGCTGAGAGAAAGGGAAAATGGAGGACAAGGAGAGCATCAAAAGATAGGAGAAAGAGGAAAATATGATAGAGATTTCAATAAACAAAAACTGAGGCTAAGGAAAAAGGAAAGGCTAAGGAGAAAGGAGAAAGGAGAAAAGTATTTGATACCCAAAGAGTTTGACCTTCAGACAGGAGGTGAAGACACAGGAATGGAAAATGAGTTAGCTTGGAAGAGGAGGACAAGTTAACCTTGTGGGTTGGGTGAATGATATCAGACTTAGAGAGTGAGGTAGAGGAATACAGGGGGGAACCAAGCCCCAAGGAAGCACATTGTCATAGTGGCCAAATGGAGTTACTATATACCTCTGTGGCAGTGACAGAGCGGGATGTCATTTGGGCCCCAAAAATACTTTTAACCATTGGCTTACATTTGGAAAGAGACATCTGTAAATCAGTGGATAACAGTTTTACGTGAATGACTCCAATCCGCTACGTCACGGGGCAGAAGGAAATGCGAGTGTGCATGCCCTATAGGCCCTATGGATGCAGGAGATCGCTGGAAGATCCGGGTATTCTTTTTCCTGTGAGTCAGGCCATTTTTGCTTCATGCACCACTGAGCAACTTTCATAGGAGTAAACGCCCCCCCCCCCTCCAACATGTCATCCAGTTCTCTTATACAGCCATGGGGGGGAAAGGAGGAAGGGATGCTAACGGACAAAAATGCTTCAAAGGAAGAAGGCAGACAGACACATGGAAGAAGGAAAGACATAAAGGATATGGATGCAAAACTGCATTAGAAAAAAAAAATCTGAAAACATTCATTTTTAAGAAGCTGGGTATATTTTAAAGGTTTAAAGGTCACCCAAATGATGAATACAAAAACAGTGCCTTAAACTTCCAAACAGCATTTGTTAAATTCTGTTACATCATCCCTGCCTATTTTTGATCCCTTTTCTAGGTCTGAGGACTATTGGAGTAATCACCAAGCTGGATTTGATGGATGAGGGAACAGATGCCCGAGAAGTACTGGAGAACAAGTTGCTGCCGCTGCGAAGAGGTGTGTGTGTGTGTGTGTGTGTGTGGTGTGTGTGTGTGTGTGTGTCTGTGTGTCTGTGTGTCTGTGTGTGTGGTGTGTGTGTGTGTGTGTGTGGTGTGTGTGTGTGTGTGTGTGTGTGTGTGTGTGTGTGTGTGTGTGTGTGTGTGTGTGTGTGTGTGCGTGCGTGCGTGCGTGCGTGCGTGCGTGCGTGCGTGCGTGCGTGCGTGCGTGCGTGCGTGCGTGCGTGCGTTTCACAGTAGATTGAGCTTTGACAGCTCTTGTATTCTCTCTGTGTACTTAATCACTGTATCCAAACACAATCCTATCATGCCTTCTCTCTGTTTATCTCCACGTATTACCCCTGCCTTTACCTCTTTCATTCTTTCCCAGGTTATATTGGAGTGGTGAACCGCAGTCAGAAGGACATTGATGGAAAGAAAGACATCAAGGCAGCTCTGGAGGCCGAGAGGAAGTTCTTCTTGTCCCACCCGGCATACAGGCACGTGGCTGAAAAAATGGGCACCCCCCGGCTGCAGAGAGTGCTCAACGAGGTGATCATAGATGTACTCCCAGTGCTTTTCCACAGTGCACTTTACATAATTAATAACTGGGCTGCTTTTTATTTCTTCACTTCCTTTGTACCGCACATCAGTGTGGGTGATGCGTGACTGTCAGTAGGTGGAAAATGCATTTGTTCTTTCTAGTTCGGCTCCGAATAATTTATCATTTCTCTCAGGCAGGCATTCCATATTTCCTTGCATTTTTATTGCATGAAAGTTATCTACAATTACTGTGAATGTAGAGACTAAACCTCCAATAAAATAGTCGCTAAGAGGCTAAATCAAGCTTGTTACTTTTGGTACTCTTTGTCCCAGAAAGAAAATAGCAAACCTCTGAACAGATGGACTATGTATGTCATGATAGAAATAAGGGCTAAAAAGCATTGAGGCTCCTACAGTCAAGAATAGTATTTTTATTGTTACATCACTGTACAGCCAAAATGCCAATGACATTTTTTTCCTCATCGATGCTCCCGTGTGATTGTATTTTGTTTAGTTTTGTCGGATTTGTGTCTCCACAGCAATTGACCAACCACATCCGGGACACCCTGCCAGCTTTCCGCAGCAAGCTGCAGTCCCAGCTGCTGGCTCTGGACAAGGAGGCAGAGGAATACCGGGGATACCGACCTGATGACCCGTCCCGCAAAACCAAGCAGCTGTTGCAGTCAGTGCCTCCTTTTTCTCTGCATCAATTTAGTCTATCCTGCAAGATATTTTACCTAATTAATTTCTCCCATAGCATCAATTTCCAATAGCAGGGTGTAATTTCTGGTCTTTTTTTAATCATTCTTATCTTTATTTGTGGTTGTTTCAGGATGGTGCAGCAGTTCTCTGTGGACTTTGAGAAAAGGATTGAGGGCTCAGGTGATCAGGTGGACACAGTGGAGCTGTCTGGTGGAGCCAAAATCAACCGCATCTTCCACGAGCGCTTTCCCTTTGAGCTGGTCAAGGTGATATGTCGAACAAATTGTAGAAGAAGATGGCACTTAAAAAAAACAAGTGAAAAAATCTGATGGGGTGTAGTTATTTTACACAACAAATTTGAAATACAAACACCCATCCATCCATCTACCCTGTTCTCCCTGTGTGGCAGCTACCAGCAGCAGGCGTTTAGCTTAGCTTTGCACAGAGACTGGAAACGGGGAAACAGCTAGCTTGGCGAAGGCATCAACATCAACATCCCAAGGCCTCCAAAGCTCACTAACTCACGCTTTATAACTAGTTAGTTAAATCTTTACAAAGCAGTGAAATATATAAAAAAGGTTGTTGTTTTGATGTGCTGGATCAAGACAAGCTAGCTGTTTTCTCTTGACCAGAGTTCTAGGCTAAGCTAACCAGCTGCTAGCTTAAGGAGACACTCATCAACAGCAGAGTTTTTAATTTGCTCTTGTTCAGGGACTGATTAGAACCATATTTTATTAAACGTCATAAACAAACGTAATATAGGACAACAAACTAAGACCAGGCCTCGAGCACAGAGCCTCTGAACTCGATATCTTTAATAGCTGTTGCGCTGAGTCCTCTGCCTTAGTCTGTCTTGAGATAGTGAGGCTCATCTCTTGAATATTCCTGAAACAAAGGAAAGTGGATGGGGAACAGTTGAAATAATTACACCCCCAGTAGACTTCCTTTTTCTAATTTTAGGACAATTAAGTCTTGAAGGCTGAATATAAAACTAAATTAACCTTTTTGCAGTGTATTTCCTCCTTTAGTTTTCTTCTGTTTCCTCCCATACACATTGTATAATCTGTATCTTCTTACAGTCTCTTTAGTTAATACCCTCAGCATGATAGCTTCCCTATGAATAATTCATCTCCAAATGCATAGTACAAATGCCGCTTTTTCCTACAATTATTCTTTATCATCTCTGTCATCCTCTCTTTTGTCATGCCGTCATCTTTCAAATGTTTACAGCTCATCTAAATTCCTCTTCTCTGTTCCCCTCAGATGGAGTGTGATGAGAAGGAGATGCGTCGCGAGATCAGTTATGCCATTAAGAACATCCATGGTATCAGGTAGGAATTTGTCCCCCCAAAATATGAAAATAGATTATCTTCAATAACCTCTGCGGTTGTTCCAGAGCATCTATTTGATATACCAACCAGTGATGCTAAAACATTTATTCACAGGCTAAAGACAGACACATATGTTGATTTTGATGCAGAAAACATCACAATAGAAATACAAATGCATGAATTTGGTTGATAATACATCCCTTTGATGGGAATTTATGAATAAGGGAGAAGCATGTAATTTGTTTTTTAAATGTTCAGTCTAGCCGCTGTGTGTTTCTATATTGGCTCAGCACAGTGGCGTAACAAGGTTGTGATTGGCCCCGGTGCAAATATTGTTTTGCTGTCTAATTTTGTCAGTTTAGCTGTTACATCTCCTTGTTCTCTCTTGTCCTTTCTCTTTTGAGCGCCGCTCTTGTGCTTTGGTTTGCTGTACATTATAAATGCAAGCTATAACATTTTTTATAATGCTGCCGAACTTGCTGCTGCTAGCTAGAGTACAGTACAGGTTGATTAAATGGTTCGCTCATCACGCAAGGTATCACATGACATGAAAGGGAGCAAGGTCATTGGACAGACAAATTACAAATTAATTTAGGTTGCTTGGTTACTTTGAAGACTGCGTGAACCGGTCAATGCCATTGGGGCCCCAAAAATGTTTTTTTTTTTTGCATGGGCCCCTGGCCGGCTCTGGGCCCTGGTGCGTTGCACCGGCTGCACCGTCGATAGTTACGCCACTGGCTCGGCAGTGGTTAGCAACCAAAACCAAAATAATAGCCACCCAAGCTAAAAAGCATCTGACATTTAAAGAAAACACCAAATTTAAGCATGAATTCCGTACAAATACAATAGCAGGTCCAATATCTATGCCTGGTTCTTGACACAACAAATTACAAAATGTTTGCATTGAACCATTCTTTTACTTAGAAATGGACTGTATAGAGTACACAACCAAAATAAAGATTCACATAATTGCATCACAATTGTACCTGTTTTCTCTCCCTTTTTGTGTGTTTCAGGACTGGACTCTTCACCCCAGACATGGCGTTTGAGGCCATTGTGAAGAAGCAGGTCATGCAGCTGAAGGGGCCCTGCGTCAAGTGTGTGGACATGGTTATCCAGGAACTGATTAACACCGTGCGCCAGTGCTCCAACAAGGTAACTCACGTGCTCACGGCATCGATGCAAATTTATATTTCTGCCATTGGGTTCTGAAAACAGTGCAATGCCCCACAACCACACTAAAGATACACTTACTGCAATAAAAACAGCCTGCATGACTTGTTGCTTTGACATTTGGAAAATGAAAAAAAAAAGTTGTCAAAAACCCAATTCAGCAGCCACGACCAACGCTTACAAACACAAATATTGACGAGTTTAGCTGACATACAAACCATGAAACGCATGGATATAATTGCCACCAGAATGACTTAGTTAAACTGCTCACGTGAACATAAATCATAGACGAAGTGCACAATCTGAACCACGTTGCTTTGAGACAAGTCACAGGGTTGAGATCTTTTATGGGAATTAGGCAGGAAACAAAGAAGGAATTAAGGAAGAAAGGGTAGTTGATAGAGGATGGACAAATGAAAGAAACAGCAATGGAAAGATGAGCTCACATTTGAAAAATTCTGTTTTTTATAGTGTTTTATAATTAGTTCCACATTCCTCATTTTATGGAGTGAGTCATTTTAAGCTGTAAAATGTTTTTTTTCAGCTGGAATGCTTCCCCATGCTGCAAGAGGAAACTGAGAGGATTGTGACTACTCATATCCGAGACAGAGAGGGTCGGGCCAAGGATCAGGTAACATCATTAGTTGGTCATAACGGCCATAGATATTTGTTTACAAGGAAATGTCTGTGAAATGAATGCCAAGTAAACAGTTTCATATTAATATCTGTCATTGTATCCATACAAAACACATACTGTATGAGTAGCTTTGGTATTTATGATAAAAAAGAGGCTACAAGCAGCATTTTGTTAGCTTAGCTTAGCTAAAATACTGAAAACGTGGAAAACCAACATAGCAAGAGCTTTTAAGCTAACGTACTCACACTTTATGTCTTGTTTGTTAAATCTTTATAAAAACTAAAGTGTAAAAATAAAAAGTTGTGGTTTAATGTGCCAGACGAGCTAGCTTGTCTCGCTGCCCTGAGTCTTAATACTAGGCTAAGCTAACCAGCTGCTAGCTAGGCTCCACAACAGCAATGTTTTTTATGCTCTGGGAAATTTAAATAGTTGGTTACACATTTAAGTGTTTATTTGACTGATTTGTGTCTGTAGATTTCTACTTAATTTACCCATTTAGAATTAAATAACATCTTGTTTTCAAATTTAAACATTCAGTTTTAGAAAACTTCTAAGCTAGCGAAACAATCTATTGCCTTTATGTTAGTAATCAACTGGTTAAGTTGAATGGTGATATCTCTTATTTGCAATTGTTGACTATATATTGGTTTTCTCAAAATTCGTTTTTTTGTCAAGAAAATTGACAGTAATACTATTTAATCGAGTGATTTTATGTAATATCTGAAATTCCCTCTTTAAAAACCTTTGACTGTTATATGTCTACAAAATGAAACTATTTTTAAAAACATTTTGAACCTGGCTTTATCCTGTTCTGAAAAGTTATGCAAATTAGCAAATATTTAATAAGATGAGTATCAATTTTCTATGCCATCTCTTTGAAAGAAACGGAATAGGAGTATTGAGGAAAACATCACAGTACTGTATTTCTATAAAAATGACTTATTTCATGTTTAATATTTTGTGTTGTTACAGGTTCTGCTGCTGATAGACATCCAGCTCTCATACATCAACACTAACCACGAAGACTTCATTGGCTTTGCTAAGTAAAGACTCCATCTATCTGTTAGCATAGCTCCACCATGATACATTATTTATGAATAAACATGTCAGGCTGCTTAGAATAAATGTTTTGAAGATCCACTTAACCCTGTCATGTTTTTTTTCTCCTCTTCATTCACCTCTCCCTCCCCTTCATCCACCCGTCCTCTCCCTCTGTGTTGTTGTTTGTCCTCTGCAGTGCGCAGCAGAGGACTAGTCAGAGTAATAAGAGCCAGAGTTCGGCTGTAAATCAGGTGAGCATTTGTCACGTCTCATACGACACACACAAACAGCGGAGCACAAGGTCAATGGAGTAAATGCACACCTACACAGCAGCAGGATGGCTACTGAAGAGAGAATACAACAAAGATCTGATCCTTTCATTTTAGTTAATCTTCACACACATTTTATGTACATTATACGTAGCCTTATGTTCTATTATATTTTATTATTATTTTATATGTTGCATCGTGTATTTTGCTTAGAGGCACCAGTTTGTTTGTTTGGTCTTATGATTTTGTCTCACATTGGGTTCTATTACTTTATGCCACCATCATCACTGGTGTTGTTGTTGAGACATTTCCCTTTGTTTGAACTCCCTTCCTGTGTCATCAAGGTGCCACTTTGCATTTCATCCCCATCCCTTAGTGAGAATCTCAGCTGCCCTGTTATGGGTGTCTGTTGGTGAGTATCACTCATTGTGGGTTATGGTTTTTGCAATGTCATTTTGTGCCTGCAGTAACACTTCTGCCCATTGTGTGGTGCTCTCCGGCACCATCATATGAACAAAAAGAGTCAGTTGTTCTTACTCTGGACGGGTTCAAGAATGGCAAATTGGCTGTGTAAGCTACTCCTGGGCAGAGGCGTTTTTCTTTTAATTGCAGTAGAAAAGTTGCTTTTTTTCCCTAAAATCCCCAACATTCCTTCCTGTTGCAGGCCTCCTCTCCTCCCGCATCAGGCCTGATTGTAAGAGTTTCCTCTCTAACCGTTTACTCTCTAACACCCCCTCCACCCACCAGCGTCCGCAGACTACAAGGGGTTTCCAACCACAAATAGAAATAAAAAATGTCCTTGGTTTGGCAGTTAAATAATCATCTCTAAATCTGAAAAAGTGTTCTTTTAGTAACCAGGCACAAAACAGACCTCTTTTGTTGGCCAAAGACAGTAAGGCTTTGTAATGATTTGGGTAACCTCCTTAGTGAGTCTTAGGCGGTGCAAGACTGACAGTGATCTAACCTAATAATCACTTGGCACAGTGCCTGTTTGTGTAGGGCTTGTGGGGTTAATACCCAGTTGTCACACACACGCTTTATTGTGTGCTTGAAGCACTTAACACAATGATCACTTAAGCAGCTAACACTGGGCTCTGCCTGTGGCATTGTGGACACACAGTTCCTTGAATGAGACTGCACTGGCACACAGTCACATGCTAGGCTCTGAGCCAGTCACAAACACACACCTAACCCCAACCTTCACACACATTTCATCGCAATTCATGCTTTGTTTTACCTGCACTGATGCATCTGGGCTAGCTCTAGCCATGATATGTTGTTTGGAGTTGATTTGTTAAAAGGCGAGTGAGTTGTTTTATCAGATTTATTAGGAAATATAACCAAAACAATGAGCTGAAAGACACTAGAACGCTTTGCAGTTCCACTTCAACTTTACAAAGCGTTTTATTGACTTTAAGCTCATTGTTTTCCAGTTATTATGGAGGAAGAGCTCCTGTCATTTTTACTTTGGAGCAATTTCTGACTTTTGACCTTGCCCTCCCCTCAGGTCATTCGCAAAGGCTGGCTGACCATCAACAACATCAGCATCATGAAGGGAGGAGCCAAGGAGTACTGGTTTGTGCTGACTGCCGAGAGCCTCTCCTGGTTCAAGGATGATGAGGTGAGTTTAAGCTTTAAAGAAAAGAGACTAAAACTAAAAAGACACTTTATGTTTAGTGTCTTTTAACTAATTTTTTGTTTTTTCAAGGGTATTTGAGCAACAGAAGAGACAGATATTTCCCCTCTGGAGTCAGAGGGTGTAATATTTAATATTATTGATTGAACACCTTAATGTTAAGATCAGGATGATGAGCCAACGAGATTTGGTCAGAATAAACTGATGTTCTATGGAAGAAGATGAGGGATAAACGTGAACACTTTATTTGAGGTCTGTGCTAATTCTCAGAATTTTGACGATAAAGTCAACATTTGAAGATTTACGACGAAGACAGAAAATAAATAATGTAAAATACCAATACTTAAGTCATACAGTACAATACAACATTACAGGGAGGATTTGGGCAGAAAATAATAAATGAATGAAAAGAAACTTAACCCACATACAAGAAAACACAAATAAAGCATAACAAAAGAAATGTGGAATGAATTGTTTATCATGCTTTCATCTTTTCATGTGACTAATCCATCTGGTCTCTGACTTTAAACTCAGATTTAAAATACATTTTCCAGAAGTGACCCTAATCCTCCTCTGTAGTGGCCAGATGTTGTGCAGAATGGAGTCAGAACAACAATGAATTGATGAATAACACAGATCTGATGTGGAGTTTTTTTTTTAAAGCAGAATTTTATTATTTTATTTTCATTATCATTGATAATACATCATTATAACTCACAACGCCATACTGGTTTTGGAGAGAAGCACACTGGTTGCAGCTTTTGGTCCGTTCTTTAGGGCTCTTTGGCGGGCTGATGTCTATCTGCCTGTCTGTGCCTGCTGTACAGGTTGGAGGATATTCTGCACAGCAAGTGTAGATAGGCAGACACACTGCAACTCATTGTTAACCTTGTTGAGGGTGCAGGTCCAAGAGAGATGCAATTTGGGAGAAAGGAGAAACTGATAGAGACAATCCAGTATCGATTGTTAGTCCAATATTTTCTAATTTCACTTATGAAGAGTTTTGATTCTTGTCTTCACTCCTTCCCATTCATCCTTCTCTTTGTCTCTGAGCTTGCCTTCCTTTTTTCTCTCTTTCTTCCCTCCCCACCTCTTTCCGCTGGGAGTTCAGGCATTCGCTTCTTCTCTGCACATGTGGAACAGTCCCAATCCCGAGCAAACGCTCACCCAAAATATATGAACACATGCTCAGCCCTCAGACGGCACCCAGGGGCCGCGCAGCGCCGCGTGCACAGATTGTCATTTGATACGTTAGTGTGGTAATGTAGGAAATTATAGCCTGCGCTGGCTTCGCCTCGTATATTTCAGTTTTTATACCCCGTGAACTTTCGATAGTCACATGCACGTGTGCACACACACACACACACACACACACACACACACTGACACCCTCCTTCTTCACTTGGTGTGGTTTGGAAGTGCTTGCATTCTTGGCAGCAAAATTACACATTTCTAATCTAAAAATGTCAACAGAGAAAACCCTTTATTCAAAATCAATATCCCTTGATTCTGTTTCTGACCTTCAACTTCATACGCAGCTATCACTTCAAGGTGCTGAGTCACTGTTTGGCTCTTTATAATGGGTAGTATTCAACAGTCCGCTATTTTACTTTAACTACTTTAACCACAAACCAACAATACAAAAGCTCACCTAAATGGACTAACACATCCTGTCTGTACATACTCTTTGTGCATATCCGTCTGCACACACTTTCCCTCACAGCTTTTTTGCAGTTATTTGACACCACAGCAATATAAATGTCCCTTTGCCTTAAAGTCTTTCCAACTCCATTTTGGCCACCCACTGAAATAAACTCACTGAAGGTGTCTGACTGTATTTTCAAACTCCACTTTGATTGATTGGCCCTGGTTCCTTTTGGCCTGCGCTGGATGCTTCGCAGCCACACACACACTCGCTCCTCCCTCCCCCCCTTCTAGTGGACCACATCTTCATCAGAGCACCAGGCTAGCAGCCTGCAAACGTACTCATTCATGCTATCAATTATGAGAGCTCGCCATTTTGTGCATCTAAACATCTTACAATTCTGACTGAGTTTTTTTTTTTTTTTCACAGCAAGTTATCAAATCTGCAGTTAGTGTTGAAAATGGTGATGTATGTTTATTCCAAGAACAGAAGTGAAAAGGAAACGTTAGCATGGACAAAATACAGATGAATATAGTACATATATTAGCAGAAAGGGAAGGATTAAATGCAAAAATCACACACATCTCGGAGATCTGAAATGCCATCAGAGAGACAGAAGAGGGTCCGTGCCCAGTCTAACCAATGTGCAGACTACTGTACACCAGTATGATAATGAACAGGTAGTCTGAACACTGGGTAGACGGAGCCGGAGCTCAGAGCCGGGCCCTGAGCGCTGCGTTCTGCCGGTCCAGATGCTGCCGTGCGGCTCTGCCCTCCCTTCGCCCCCGCTCCATTTTGGCAGGTCCTTTCGGCAAAAACCCCTCAAAATGTGCCTCATCCGCGTCTCCCAAAACTGTTTAGGTGTCTTGGCCATGTTTGTTGGTTTTGGTAGACCTTTTTAAGCCCGGAGTCCCCTCGCGGTCCGTTTGGGTCACGCCGGCCATGAAGAGTATCCAGCCTTGACGTGGCACATTCGCTCAGACGACCGGGACAGACTGGCTGCACGTTCAGGGAGGGGATATTTCAAAAAAGAGGGAAAGAGAGAGACGGTGGGGGTGAGAAAAGGAGAGGAAGAGGGAGGGGACCCGTGTGACCATATATGGGCCGCGGTGACCCCTCGGGGAATACAACACAAGAAGAGTCTGCAGAGTTTTCCTGTCTTTCCTTCTTCTCATCCTCTTTAATCCTTACCTGCGACCATCTTCACGGACCTTCGGACCAGATGGGGGGCTTTCTTCTGCAGATCTTTGTGCAAATCCACTTTAGCGTTGCTTCTCCTCATCGCTCTCTCCTCCTCCTCCTCCTCCTTCACCCGCCGACTCTTTAACTTCTCCCTCCTTCCCTGGTTCTCTGTGTGCCGTTAAGCACTACCAGATGTTGCGTTTTAACGCCAGGCTGTCATTTAATCTCTCTCCCTCCTTCTCCTTCAAAAAAATCAGGCAGGAAGTGGGCCCCTCTGGAATGGAAAGAAAAAATATTGAGAAAATATAGAGGGGGGAGGGATAAAAGAAAAAAGACAGGGAGAGTTTAAAAAGATGGAGGCTAGGATGAAGTTAAAAATGTCTTAAAGTGTCCGTCAATGAACACATGTGTCATAGCCGTGCTTGAGCTTCTACCTCTGAGGTTGTGTTTGAGTGCCGGACCCCCAACCGCCGGACTTATCCCCATTACCCCCCCGACTTACTCGCTTTACTTAGGCTTTAGCTGCCAGCGTTCCCCCGGCAAAACGCGCCGTGAAGAACGACTGCATCTTGACCCACACTGTAATGACTTCCACATGTGCTCTCCGTCTCCCTTTTTTCTTTCTCTATCCTCCCCCCTCTCCCCCTTTCCCTACCTCCCACTCACATGTTCTCCCCCATTCCTTCTCCCTCCTGTCACCCCCTTTCTCTCTGCTCCCCTCCCTCTTTAAAAACCCCATTTCACCTTTCTCGTACGGCCACATTTCGTTGCACAAGAATCCATGGAAAACAACAAAATTGCATTAGTCATAAGAAGCGCTCACAAGCCTGTTTTTCTCATTTGCAGGAGAAGGAGAAGAAGTACATGCTCCCTCTGGACAACCTGAAGGTCCGCGATGTGGAGAAGAGTTTCTTGTCCAGCAAGCACATATTCTGTATTTTCAACACGGAGTCCAGGTCAGCAGATCTTTAATTTCTGCACATAAAACCAGATTTCTTACAGCAATCACATGCAGTAGATGGAGTTAGAGAGAACAGGGCCTGTGTGCTGCTGCGGCTGAAATAGGTTTTAGACAGTATGTATGCATGCACATATGCAGGCTGGGAGAAGGTGAAACTATGTCTAAAAGATCTACAGCTTAGTTTATGAAGTTTGTCATTTGCATTTGTTTACAAAAGCAAACATTTTACAGTGATTTACTGCAACAGATAATAATACAAACTTGAAGGTCTTAACGTGGTAATAGTAGGTTGATAATAGTTATTCATTCAAGGAAAATGTAGGCATTAACAAACAGGGAAGTTTAATGATAACACATTTTTATTCATTTGAACATTTATAAAAATCCCAGTAAAGTGATGTAAAAGATGAAATGTGTCATGGTGGTTCGCTTCACCTAAATTCCACATGCACAATATCAAAGAAAAAGAGATTCATACATATTCTCCCTTGCTGGAGAGAATCAGAAGATGTTTCTATTTTATTTAAGCAATTAAATATTGAACTGTTATGACAAAATCTTAGTGTCACTTCAATTCCAGAATCACAATTTAGAATTGAAATATACGTAAAATAAATGGAGAAAGTTCAGAGACAAGCTGCTAAACTAATTACAGGATTAAAAGCTAATTCATATGTTAAAAAAATGACAATGAGCTAATTTAGTACTTTAGACATACTGTAGAGATGGAACGATTAAAGTCTATAAGCTTGTTCACAGAATACAAATGATCACTATCAAGCCTGTCATCCACTTTTAGAAAACAAGTATTTATTTAAAAAGGAACTCTTTCGAAAGACTATCCCACTCAAGTGTTTCTCTGAACAGAAGCAATCTTCCCACTTTGTGCTGCAAAAGCATGGACAGAGTTTCCAGAAGATGCAGTGCAGGCTCTTCGGTTTTTAAAAATAGATTGGTTAAATTATGGTCAACCAATGATATGTTGAAAATGTGATAGCTGGTCTTTGATTATTTGTGGATTACAAAATGTGGTGTGGAGATCTCTAGAACCAGAACATATTCAATAAATGAAACATAGGAAAAAAAGCCAGGACAGGACTGTAAGCTATACATAACACGGTGAATCTGGATACAATGTCTGGATCAGGCCTGGACTCTGAGTAATCGGTGCAGAGCGCTCTGTAAAAGGTTTTATGGTAATTCACTTTCTTCTTGGCTGAAGACCTAAGAAAGGGTTAAACAACAAAATACCCCAAATGGAAGGAAGCACATAACCTAATACTGTCAATACTTCCAGATGTCTGAGTTTCTATGCTGTTGTTGAACACTTCAACAATAGGGAACATTGTCCACATGTTTTCTAAAAAGATAATCATTCAAAGAGTAGTTAGTGTTAGGTTATTTAATCATATGCACACACATGTGGTCTAAAATGGATGCATGTTCTCCTGTGTCATGGTGCTCAGGAATGTTTACAAGGACAATCGCACCCTGGAGCTGGCCTGTGACTCACAGGAGGACGTGGACAGCTGGAAATCCTCTCTCCTACGTGCCGGGGTCTATCCTGAGAAAGTCATGGCGGTTAGCAAACTCTTTAATTCTCTGATCAATGGATCCTTTACCCACTGGGTTACACATTCCTACCTTTAGTTTCCATTTTTCTGTCTAGAGTGGGGATTAACTGTATGTATTTTAGGAGGCCGACCAGGAAGTTAACATCGCAAGGGTTCACTCGACAATAATCAATGCGATGGTTCCATTAGTATTTGGAGTATTCCAGAACATTCCAGATATTTTGACACACATTTATTACTTACACATTTTGTTGAGCAGGATAATCGACACATATTAACACAACTCAGTTGAAGAGTAAATGCAATCACTAGAAGTAAAAAGCTAACATTAGCCTATAAACAAACTACATGGCGGTCGCATGGCTGTGCGTCACCACCGCTAAGCTAAAGGTTGCTAATTTCCGGTGTGGTGGTTAAGTAGTTTATTTAGCCACTTGTTTGCAACCGCTAGCTAGACATTCACATGTGGTATGTTTACTGACGTATTTTATGTCGTTGAACAAAACATGAGAATCTAGTAAGTTTGTATTAACCACAGGCCTTTTTACAGGCCTTGCATCGAAGACCCGTTAAAAAAATAACGCTGACTTTGAGACAAGGGAAGCGGAAGTGGCAAAAGGCTTTAGGACTCATTCCCGCACCACTCTTTTCTTAATATATTCATATTTAATGTATTTACCTGTTTTATTTAAATACATTTAGAACTCTTTCTATATTTATTTATTTTGTAGGGAAATAAATACATTACATTTTGACTTATTCCCTAACATTTACATTTAAGATTTAATTTCAGAAAGAAGCCCTCTGTATCAAATAGTGATTCATACTATTAACCGACGTATTTTGTAAACGTATGGCCCTCTTTTCTCATTTAGTTCTCTTTCATTGTTTGAAAAGTCTCTCTCCTTTCTCCCTCTGCAGGTTGAGAGTGAGTCCACCGCAGCCACGGAGAACTTCTCCATGGACCCTCAGCTGGAGCGTAAAGTGGAAACCATTCGTAACCTGGTGGACTCCTACATGGCTATTGTTAACAAGTGCATCCGGGACCTCATGCCCAAAACCATCATGCATCTCATGATCAACAATGTGAGAAAAGATGACTCAGAAGTTCATTTATATAGGACGTGTAGACATATTTCCTTTGCTGTTACTGTATAAAGGCAACACGCTACAGCCAAAAACTAAACATTTTCGTGTACTGGCCTATTTTCTGAGATTCGTATACTTCGTAAACAATCCATTTAGGGGTGTATTTTACAAAGCCTATTTGCTTTTGTAGATCCTAAATTGTATTATTTTACAATCAACTCAGGATGTTACATGGTAATATTTTATATTTGGTAATAAAACCAATTCTGATTATTAGTTAAAAATATATAACCTGTAATTACTTCTCTCTAAATATAACACTGCCATTAATGATCCCAATAGTAAAGTGTTAACCTTTGATTGGGAAAATGCCATTAGAAGGCATATGCTTTATTTCTTCTATTTAACTATTTGAATACATCTCCCTGCACCGCCTCCTCCTGCCTCCAGGTGAAGGACTTCATCAACGCGGAGCTGCTGGCCCAGCTGTACTCTGCCGGGGACCAGAACACCCTGATGGACGAGTCCCAGGAGCAGGCCCAGAGGAGGGACGAGGTGCTGAGGACCCACCAGGCCCTAAAGGAGGCCCTGGCCATCATCGGGGACATCTCCACCACCACCTTCACCGTCCCCATGCCTCCGCCTGTTGATAACTCCTGGGTGGGAGGAGCAGGGGGTCGCAGGTAAAGTGACTTTAGTTAAACTGATGACATTATGTGCTCTTTGTTTCCTGAACACAATTCATGGACATCTCCTTACGTATATATATATATATATATATATATATATATATATATATATATATATATCCAAAATATATATATATCTATATGAACATGACCTTAATAAATTGTTTACGCTAAAGACACATATAGACAAGCGTTAATATTTTAAAGTAGCATCTAATGATATATGGACATGATCTCAATCATTTTTGCACTAAAGACTTATCGTATGATATATATAGACACAACCTTGATTTTCTTTACGTTAAATACTTATGGAACAATATTTTAACATCACCTTAATCATCTTGCTGACTTAATTGCCAACATGATGCCAGAATAACAAGCAGAGTTTTCCCTCACATTAGAGGACTTGGGCTAGGTCTGTAACACCCATTTGTCAAGGGTTGAATATTTGAAATAATTGTTAAATGTTAAAAGTGAGTCCATTTAATTTAATTTTGTTGGTACATTTTATTTATAATTATTCATCTAGGGCCTACATTACTATGTTATCATTATAACAGTGGTCTTAAAATGACATTGCAGTTATTTCTGGAACAATAAGTTGTCCAACAAAATGAGTTATATTGCCATGCCTTCCTTTATCCTTTCCTTTCAGCAGGTCTCCTCCATCCAGCCCCACCTCCTCCAGGAGGATGTCTTCAGGCCAGCGCCCGGCTCCACGAGGGGCCCCGCCACCACCAAACCGCCCAGGACCCCTGGGGCCCTTCAACAACACTGCTGAGAGCCCCCAGGCTCCCAGCCGCCCTAACAGGGCCCCTCCTAGCATCCCCAGGTAAACAAAGCCTTCACATAACTATTTTTCAGGATGACATCATGCTCTAACATACCTGATTGCTCTCTAAGTTGTGTAACAGTATGGTTAACATTGAACTCAAAATTATACAATTGGTTTGTTTTTTCAAGTATTGAAAGAAATGCTCAACATAAAAGCCTTTTTCACAGAACACATTTTTAGTAACACTACTATTACAAGTCATACTGTGTGCTGTGAGGAAGACCTGTTGTGTCTCAATATGAATACTTCTATACTTCAATGTGTTATTTTGAGTGCTAAAGTGTGTCCCAAAGCAAATCTATGGCAAAATGCTGTGCACTATAAGTACGTGGATGGGGCATTCAAAACAGTTAAACAGATGCGTGTGGAACGCTGGAAACGTATTGCACTCGACCATCACCATCTTGGCTGCGTAACCAAAGATCTTGATTGCTCTGGTGAACAAAGCACTATTGAAAATAACGTATACATGTGTTTTTTTTTCACAATTTATTAAACGTACCACTATACTGCTGTCCATAAGAAATGACCACAAACAACAACGCTAATAGCTAGCTAGCTAACAGTGTAAATGTCACTTCCATCAAGTAGCAGTGTGCAATGTAATAAAACACTATATGGTCAAAATTCACTCACTGTTCAAGTTTCCCCAGTATACTTAATGGAAGTGTACTTAGGAAAGAATCCAATTTGAGACACAGCACCATCGTTTGGAAAGTTTTTCCCTGAGTCGCTCTTCCCTGCCATTTCTAGTCTCTATAAGCTAAGCTAACAGGCATTTGGCGGTAGCTTTAAATTTAGCATACAGACGTAGCAGTGGTGTCGATATTCTCATCTAACTGCTCATTTCTAGTATCTACAATCTTCACACTGATAATCTGGACTCTGTGTGAGAGACATTAGTACAATTTGTACTCTGAAACGTAGCAGCTCCTACATTTGTGTGAAGACTAATCTCGTCTCCTTTCTTGTCTCCTTTTGTCTTCCTTACTTTTTTCTTCTCATTCCTCTTTCGACTTCTCTTATCTGTCCGGTTCTCTCACACTTTTCCATTATCAATCACTCTCTACCCAAGCCGGCGGCCCCCTCCATCTCCTACAAGACAAGCCCCACCATAAACATCTAAATGGGTTCCTCATACACTTATCTCCTTCCCTCATCCACTCCATCCTCTTCCTCCTTCTATTAGCCATGGCTCTGCTGACCTGGTCCCTCCTTTAGTGCAGACACTGACGTCTTTGACCCCTTTGACCCTCAATTTCCTGCCAGGTGACGATGTCCATATATCTATGTACAGTATGGTACTTGTCTTGTGGTGTATGTGTACGTGCGCTTGTTGCTCGCCTGTGGTCCAGGTTTGCTTAGCAGATCCACTACCCGGTATCAGTCCCTGGAAACCCCCCCCCCCCCCTTCTCCCCTCACAATCCCCCACTTGCTGCTTCTACATGACAATACGCTCAGCAGTCGTACTGCCCTACTCATTCCAAAATGCAGCATGGCACATGAGCTGCTTTTATTGCATGGGAGTGTGTGTATGTAGAGTGTGTGTGCGTGCGTTTCGTGTGTGTGTATACGGGGCAGGGACTAATTTGCCTATATGTAGGCTCGGGTATGATTTAGTATTGTATTAATTTATTGTATAACGCCCCACCCTTCAGTGTTAATTATCAGCTCAATGTTCTCTTAGGAACAGAAGGTAGTGTGTGTGCGTGTTTGTGCGCGAGTAATCCTGTGTATGAGTGTGTGTGAGGATGCATGTGCTGTCCGTCTGCACGTTCGTTGGCGTTTCAGTTGTATTCGTTCTCATGGTCAAAGCTGTTAAATGACGAATCATAAACCCCCCCGGGGGTAAATTTAATGTTGGACTTTTGTGAGTTGTTCCTGTGTTGTAGTAGCAGCCATACATACATAGCAAGGCTGAGGAGCACCTTCAGTATTCTCTATATGGAAACAGCCTCAATAATGCATTTAACCTCGTCATAGGTGTCCACCTGTGCTGTATCAATGGTCAAGTTGTGACCCCTGCAGCCTTAAGCTCAGATTCAGACGCTGACTCGTGGGGAGGAAAAACAAACTAAAAAAAGGCAATTTCCTTCTCCTACGAACGAACATGCATTTACATGTTTCCATTTAGCCTTTTTCTCAGGTTTGAAACATGCAACTCCATGCCCATCACAAACTAGCACTCTTTCTCTTTCCTCAAATCTTCTAGCCTCTCTTATTTCCTTTTCTCTCACAGCCATCGAAAGCCAGTCAGCGTCTCAATCCGAGCTTAAGGTGGTGTCGTGCTTCTCTGTCAGTTTGTTATTGTGTATGTGGGCCTAAACTGTGTTCTGATGTATATAGGTAATGATAAGGAGATACTGTACCTGTGGACTATTAAGACCTCATCAAGGATCCTAGCGCTTTAATCGTTCTCTGTGTCTCTATTCACTAAATGCTCTCTTCTCTCGAATTTAGACTGCCTTACCGGCATGAAATAAAATTCTATATTGCCAAAGCTAAATGTAGAAAGAGAATTGAAAAAAAGAAAGAAGAAGAATCTGCAGAAGACCAACATCGAAACGGTTCCAGTTGTAGAGAGTGTGATGGCTTTGTTTAGCAGAGGGCATAATGGTAAACTGGAGAATGCATCAGTTGTTCTTTTCTGTGTCTCTGTATCGCTCCTCAATAAACTTCTTCCTCATAATGTCTCACTTTGTCAAAGGGGTCTTTATTGTTGAAGCCACTAGGTGAAGCAAAAATAATAAGTTACTCAAAATAATACGCTATGTCTTGCTTGCTTAATTATTGATGCAAACATAAAATGAATGTGTGTTTATAAAAGACAAATAGTAATTTTTAGGGATTCAGGATTTTTGTATTTTAAAAAGCTATTTGTAACATTTTACAAATCCACAAATCTGGATGATTCGATATATTCCATAGCTCTGACAGAACCATTTCTGACACATTTCACTTTTGAAATGTTGAAAATAAATTGAGAGAAGTTGCATTGCAATTGCAGTAATACATCTACAGTACAAATCTTTACTGTAGGTTTCCGAAAAACAACTAAGAGTAATAATGACTGCTTCAATTTCATTTAATGATTTTTTCATTTGATAGGATTTTATTTTAGCCATCATTTTCATTACGGCGAGGCAGTACTGCACACCTTGACAGCAAGTAAGTATTTATCTTTATTCCTGCTTTAGAAACCAAATTACATCAAAACCAATGCATGCGATGATGGCTTTCTTGCTAATTTGTTTGACTTTTGTGCATACTGCAAATTGTGGGAGAAAAAATACAAGAAATGGGATTACTGAGGAATCAATTCATATATTACTGCTTGCCACGTGATGGCAGCAGAGGCCCAGTTGAATCAAATCTGTCATGTGACATCATTTTTTGCATCGAGCTAGATCAGAAATAAAACAGGAACTCCAGGGATGGATTTAACAACGGATGGCATGTTAGATGGGTAAGGTGATAAGGTGTATATCTGTTCTAAATGTCCAAATGTGTTTTGTCCCTTGCCTTCACTAAGGGGGTTTCACATCAGTTTTTTTTTTATGTGTAGATAGCTCCCTCTATTGACCTCAACATGCACGTGCATTATTGTCTCTAAGGAGGGTTTGGAGTTTGGAGCCTGCTGTACATCATGTACTGTACAATTTCAGTTATGCAAAGTGGCCGAATAAGAACATGCAGTGGCGACTGGTCATTAGGGGCAGGTGGGGCACAGCCCCACCTAGTGTCAGCAGAAAGTATTACACATAATGATTACAAAAAATGGAAAGAGATGCAAAAAAAGAAATAAAAAAATATATAAAATATATTTTAAGGTCATGTTTAATCATCTGATTCGTCTGTGCATTGCTGTTTTAGTCTGTGTTCTTCTAATTAGTGTCTACAGTGCCGTTTTGAGCCATGTGGGACAAAACCTGATCATGCCCCACCCTTTCACTGTCAAAGTGAACGGTGACTGTAAAAACTACACTGCGCATGCTCAGAGTATTTTTCAATGTAATGTGTGTGGCAAAAAAAAAACACCATAGGGGCACAGAGCTGCCATCCCCACCATACGTCATCTCACATCATTCAGAGCTGATTGGCTGTAAGTACGTGTGCCGCGAAAAGTGTGGTGTGTGAAGAGCATGGATGTATAATAAGAGGAGACGAGAGAGCTGCAGTGACGCGTCCTAAAACCAGGAAGTAAGCTGCAAAAAAGCAATGAGGTTTCTCTATAGGATTTTAGAAAATAGCTTGAAATAAGATCTGTGGGAAACGTACCTGTTAGATAAATGCACGTTTTGTTCAGCCGGATAATATCCACATGTCTACCCTACTTTTATCATTTTCGAATCATAAATCTATCGATTAGATTTATGATAGACTTTTGAAACTACAAGATGATAAGGAGGACTTTTACAAAAAAGTTATAGAATTTTTTGTCCAGAAGGATAGGCAAATGGACTTCATCTTCAAGTCAAGGTAAGACCGCAATTTTTTGAAAATGGGATCTTACTTAGAGAGAACAATTCAATATTTAAATGATCAAATTACATTTTTTGGGTATCCTTTTGTTGAACTGTCTGTTTAAAATTAATCGAAGCATCAGACAAAAAAAGCTTTTGAAAATAATATTATATTTTGGTTTAGGTCAAAATATAATATTTGTAAACCTGAAGAGTCAGTGCCAGTGCCTCACCAGCCATGAACCTCACTGCACGTCACTGCAGAAGCTTATATATAGACATCTAAGTTTTTTGTGCCCCACCACTTTTGTACATATAAAAACGCCACTGAGAACATGACGATACTTTTTATTGCAGGTTGATAGGTTGACAACTTAAAAAAATATATACATATATATTGCAATACATGCTTTAATTTGCACATTATGGGTCGTTTTGAACAATATTTACACATTTAAATAGTACTAATTAACATACTCTAACTTGATGCCACCGATTTCTCCACCGTTCAGCTAGGACTGCTCCTGCGTTATCCACCCACGAAATACCATATTACGGTGTCTCATGTATCAATGGTATTTATAATATTGTGAGGTCTTTTTTGTCATCATGAGCTATCATTTTCACAATTATGATATCATTTAAATGCAGGAACACTTCCTATAACCGTCCTTTATTACCTCATTACGATAAGCACCACCCACTCGGGGCAACTGGCTCCTTCGAAACGATCGCTCCCAAACACACGCTCAGTTCGAACTGCGCAACTGCCCCTCTACTTTTTCATTGGACGGTTACACAGCAGGTTGTGTGCGTGGATGACAGCGGCTAGCATCACATTCACACTTCACCCGTGAAAACAACCCCCATCAGCCAAGTTAACAGGAAACAACGGGTGCATTTGGCTTGTAAAAGTCCTCATAAGGGCGAAAAGGATAAACCGCGTTTTGTTAGTACGGTGAGGATGTCTGTCCCGGCAGGAGAGGGATGAAGATGACACCAATGTTATGGCGAGTTGTGTCAGTGTGGCTATGTGTAGCTGTGGTCTGTTGGTAAGTTGACTTAATATCCGCTATTTTCTCAACATATTATAACCACAAGGTTAACCATACAAAGTAACATACTGCCAGACAAACGTGAGGGTTACATTTGCATTATGTTAGCCAGCTAGCTAGCATTAACATGGTGTTGTGATGTGGCACCTGGCTAACTCTTCACTTGTTGTCAGTGAACGAGTTAGCTTGAGTTCTGAATAATTAGCTAGCCTGTTAGCTAGGCTTAAAAGCTATTTGACGTAGTAACCATCCACCTCAAGTCATTGTGGCTGATTAAACATCATTAGTAACATACGTTGTATCAGCTGCTAAAGTCTGTATCTCCTTTAAGCACAGGTATTTGGTGAAGACTTTTGACCTAAACAACAGTACGCAATGTGTTAGACACACACTGCTGAGTCAATTGCTGATGCTTCCCACGACCCATCCTGTCACAGAGCTAACGTTAGCCTCAGATTTGCTCTTGACAGGATTACTGGCCTGTCACGTCAGTCCTGCTGAAAGCTGGAGGTTGTTAGGTGTATGTAAATCTGACAGAACACAGTAAAGCCAGCTGAGAGGGAGCTTATGGAGGAGGATTGTGGGCTGTAGCCATGATGTAAGAGGATAGTAACACAACACTTTAGATAGAGAGAGAAGGGAGGGGTATGATGTAATATGGTATTAACATCTATGTTAATGTTGACCTGACCTACTTTCACAAGCACTGCTTTGGCTTTCATTTCAGAGTGAAGCTGTGAGTTATAAAAGCTTTTTATGACATTCAGTCACATGTAAACATTTAGAATCTCTGGAATTGCTTCAGTTCATAGATTTTGTTGCATTTTTTAAATTCTCAGACATGTCATAGCAGGTATAGCACAGGTGTAAATAACTACTGACATGATGAACAGCTGTGGTATTCAGTTCAGGTTTAATAGGCTCTTATTATGCAGGCTGGAACTAGAATAACTCCAATGTCAGACAAGGACGTTTGCTTTGTACAGAACCCCTTAAAAATGTTTTTCCATAATATAAAAATGTATACTTATTATTATTATTATTATTATTATTACACATTTTTAAATCCTTCCAATATTTGAAAATCATATTGCACTTGCAATATAAGTTAAAATCATTTATATTTTTTCCAAATTGTGCAGCCTTCTGCTAAAATATTTGCTCATATTTTTTGTGGAACTCTGAATTTAGCCAACATCGGAAGAAATGAATCACTATGAATTACTTTGTCACAATACAAAGTTTTTGTACTACCCATATAGCTGAATCTCTTCAGTGAATGAAGTCACCATAATGATAATCACCATTTGTGTGATGTCATATCATTGAATCAATCTCATCAGATTATTATAATTGGAGTAATCAATGATGCATCACGCCACGCGGCATTAATGTGACGGAATTTGAGAGTCACAGGTCAACTGTCAGTCAGAGGTGTGTCTCGGGACAATCTTGATGGCAGTGGACCCATAAACCTCATCTTTGCCCTTGTGATATTTATTTATTTTATATGTTGCATAGTGAGCAGTCCATTTGTTCAATCCAATCTGCTCTGTAAAGCATTGTCTTTAAGTATTGCAAAGGGTCTGCTATCCCTTCAACACTACTAAGGCTGTAACTATCATTTTGTTCATTGTTTCTTGATCTGCCAACTATTAGATCAACACTAAATTAATCTTTTGGTCTATAAAATGTCAAAAAGTAAAGAAATGTCCATTCTAATTTCTTTTTGTGAATAGTGATATCTTTAATCTCATGATGTTTCAGGCCAAACACAAACATATTTAGTTTAAAGGTCCCTTGTCATGGCCATTTCTACTGATCATAATTCCATTGTTGAGGTCTACTTGAATAGATTTATATTGTGCAATGTTCCAAACTCACATTGGTTTCTCATACAGCATCTCTGTATAGTATGTGTATTCACTCTCTGTCCTAAACGCCTTGTTGGAGCTCCTGCCCCCCCCCCCCTCCCTGTGAGCCCAGTGTGCTCTGATTGGTCAGCTCGCCCACTCTGTTCTGATGAGTCTACCACTATGGTCTACCACCGTGGTCTACCACCGTTACAGCGGAACATCAGTGATTATGTGTTACAATGGCGTTTGTTAGCAACCAGGAAATGACACCAGTAATGACAAACAGATGAGAATGCTGCGTGTGGTCTGGGTGCCGTGTTGGCGGGACGTTGCGAGGAGCGCTGCTGCGAGGAGCGGACAGTGTGAGCTGGCTTACTGGTGTGGTTTCCTAGTTGCTGCGTGGGGTCGGTGAGACAGCGAGACACAGCGAAACCCAGCCAGAAACCAGACCGAGCACACACGCACACACCCGCAGCCTGGCTGTGAGTCTGTGTGTGAGCACACACACAGACTCACAGCATTCCGCCGTCCAGGCTGAGAAATCTGCGCAGAGCTGCAGCTGAGAAAAATAAGGCTGAGTGAGTGTGTGTGTGCGAGGAGCTCCACGGATTGGTCCATTTGGATTGTCGTTGCGTCACTTGGCTCCAGGAAGAAAACAATGGAAAAAGATAAATCTCCAACGAGCCGTTCTGGGGCAGCATAGACAGGTATTTTCTGTGTTAGAGTTTTACTCGCTACAGGATGTACTTTGAGGGTTTGTGACTCTGCAGACCGTTTACATGCAGAAAAAGCTACATAACACAAGGGGATGGGTAATAACTGGAAAAGCATGACATGGGACCTTTAATATACCAAACAAACACATTCCAAGTTTCCTGAAATGTTTTCAATACAAAAACTACTTTCAGAAATTAATCAATTATCAAAATAGTTGGCCATTCTTTTTCTGAGGATTGACCAATTGTTGCAGCTCTAAACACATTCTATTCTTGCCTGTTTTTGTATTACTTTTCACCAATTTCTCTTAAATATTGAAAAACACCTCATTGCTGTATGTATATCAAATGAGGCTGGTGCACAGAGGGAATATCCATATCCTTCCAGTGTTTCCCACAGAATTTGATTCTATTTGTGGGGGCACCGCACCGCACAAATAAAAAAAACAAAACACTGCCTTCTAAAAACCTGGCATTTCCTCCCACTTCCTTTGTTAAGTGTCCTGCTTTAACTCTTTGTAAGCAGTTAGTGAATGATTGAGCAGGTCGTGGTTTAACACCACTCCTGCTCCGTTGGGGCCTTTCAATTAGAAAACAAGTGCTCTGTTGTGCACTAATGCGTCTCTCACTAGTCTAGACCTTAAAGTCAGATCAACAAAAGCAGTTAGGCCCCCCAGCCCTGCCCACAGGCCAAGTCAAATCCCCAACCTGGAATCCAGAATAAAATCCAGATAATTCCTCGGATTGTTGACAAGTATGCAGTCGCTGTTGGAGTGTGGCCTTTGAGACCCTAACCCCCACAGGAACTTTCCATTGTTATTGCAATTATTACAATCCTTGTTTGGGCTAAATATTGTCGTTTTCCTGCCAGGAGTCCGCACAGTCACTGCAGACCTCAACATTGTTTCTTAATTGTAATGTATGTATTTATTTAAACAAGGACCATGCATACAAATACATTAATTTGAAAAGAGAAGATTTGAGCTAATTCCCATCTGAAGTCCTGAGGTAGGTACTGTACGTAACAATCAACAAACGCTAAAAACATTTCATCATCTATCACACAAACAATTATCTCTCAGTGAGTCATACTGTGACATTGCACTGCAGCTTCCACTGTGTACTGTATGACTCACTGCAGTCAAATCAAGTGTTTAGGCTGCTCGATTCAAGAGTTTATACCCCTTCACAGTCCTCAACTTCTTCTCCAGATACATGGTATTTTTGCTAGTGCTTTAACAAGTGACCTACATTCATTATGACACTGATGTCTTCTCTTCGTCTCTTAGGTACCCTAGTTGCTATGTCGGTTGCACGGAGACGCAGCAGGAGGCTCAGAGGCCCGTGTCCTCACAGGACCTCAGTTCGGAGGAAGAATCAGGGGAGGAGATTCATCATCACAAGGTAGCAACTGCTGCAACACTACCATAGTGCAACCCACACTAAAGATTCAAAGGTGTTATTGTCATATTCACTCAAGCTACATTTGAGTTGTTGGCAATGGAAGTCCCATCTTAAGTTATGCCAGATCTTAAGTCCCAGGCCCTACTAACAGTGCAACATACACTATACTAGGGCTGCTCGATTATGGCAAAAATCATAATCTCGATATTTGGGTCAATAATTGATATCACGATTATTAAAAAACGATTATCCATTTACTTTGAAAACATCCATTTATTGAAAAAAAATGGAACAGTATGTTTTTAACAGTTGATTACCCTGAACTTTAAGTATAATTCAACTGAAAAACCAATAATAATAATAATCGTTTTATTTTGATGACGTTGTTTTCGTAATCGTTGCAAGCCAAAATCGTAATTGCGATTTAAAATACGATTAATTGAGCAGCCCTACACTATACAATACAATGGTACTTTATTGTCAGGTCAAGTCTGACATTTTCCTTGCATCACAGCAGCTCCATTTAGAACATCAACAGGGACACATATTTAAGACAAGAAACAAGGAAACTGACTGTTAATATAAAATGTCAATCAATAAGGATGTTTAAAACCCTGTTCAAGACATAAAGGAAGGGAATAGGAAGTAAAAAGTTCAATAAGAAATGTGCAAGTTATACAATGATGCAAGTAAATACAGGAAGAGAAAAGTACAACAGGTTGCCGTCTAACCTGAGCTAACTCAAGTGATCATCAAGATCATTATATGTTTTAAGCTCATTCAACCACACAGGAATCCTCCTGTCATGCTACACTCAGATCAGATAAAGTATCTGAATATATGGACTAGAAAATCAAATGTTTTTAGTTTCTGTAACTCTGTGGTGTAAATAATATTTGTGTATGCGTTCATTTGTTTGTGTGTTTTTCTCTAGGTTGAGGAAAGCTTGATATTCCCTGCCCAGTCCCTGTCTGACAATGAGAAGTGGATGGAGGATGATCGGCAAAAAGAGGATGAGACGGTGCAAGAGGTGGACGAAAAACAATATTTAGAGGTACTGTATAGTTGCAGCGTTTATGTAAATAAATGATTGCAAATCAATTCTGTACCGTGATGTTTGCTTATGTCAGAGATCATTTCAAAGGTAAGATTTCCATTTGGTTGAATTATACTATGTGCTCCTTATTAATGATTGTTCCTGGCACAGTTGAAGTGCTATGATGCTAAATCCACCTCTGGCTAATGGTAGGGCAGAGCCATTCTGAGAAAAGATCTCTAATCATAATTATTTGGACTAATATTACAATTGTGATATGATTCACATATTTGAGGCAATTACCATTTTAACATAACTTTTCATTCTTATTTTCCTAAAAAAAAAAAAAATACAAATATTAAAATGGTTATCGTTTGTATTATGTGTGTGAGGATCTGTATGACATTTTTTTTCACGAGTGACTGGACCCTACACTCTTCCATAAGTGGGTCTATTGTCATTTTGGTTAAGAAAAATCACTTGTACAGTATAATATTTAGTATTATATTTTGGTTCACATTAGAAATATTTTATATTTAATTTTTCACAATTTATAATTTTAGAAATTATTTTTACATTTGAAAAAAAAACGTTTTGAACATATTGTCCCAAAGATCTCCGCTATGCTGAGACCCTCACATTATTCCAGTCCCTTTTCAAAACTAATCTCTTCTCCTCTGGTCTACTCATAGCCCCCCCCCATCAATCCATGCTGGTTGATCAAGTTTGATAGTCCTATACCCCCCACCCTAACCTTCCCTTATATTGTAAAGCGATTTTGAGTCCTTGAAAAGCCCTATACAAATATAATGTATTGTTATTATTATATTGACAGGTATCAGATCTTGCTGTGTAAAATAATCTTCCTGAGAGGTGTCACTTGTGATGTCGTCTGTATGGTCCACAGTGAATGTATTCCTGACAGCAACAGGTGATAAGAATTACAAAGATACTTCAAGAAAAGCCCCCCACCGGGTCCAAAAAGACCCACTTATGCATCTAAGGGTTTTCCCTTTCCTGTAGTGTGTTGTATAGGTTTGTGTGCATGTAAATGGTCTGCAAAGGCTAGAATCCCAAAGTTCCCTCCAGAGGGAGTTTCTCTGCTACTAATGGGCAGATCACTTTCAACATCTTTCTCCACAGCTCAAACATCTCTGTTTATCCATCAGGCCTTTGGAGAGGAGGAGCTCACTGCAGACGAAGAATGGAAGCACGAAAAAGAGATTTCACTACCGGAGACAGAACCTGAGCAAATCTCAGAAAATCCACCCCCTGAAACCTCCGCCACTCAAGACCAGGACTCAGCCCCCCCGCTGGCTCCCTCGGACCCTGGCTCTGATATTACTGCTGAGCCCGAAGATAACTCCAACTTCCTTAACCTTCAAGAAAGCACCCCAGACAGGCAAGATATTATTACATGGAGGCTTATTTCATGTTTTGTTTCCACTGGAATCTACTTACTTTGCTGTATCTCATTCTGTTGTTCGGAAAATGCACATCACTTCGAGTTACGGTACCTTTTATAAGAGCAAGTTGTTTTAAAAGGTCATTAGTTTTCTTTTTTTGTTTTACCATGAGCCTTTTTGGCTGCAGGAGTGTAACATGGATGGTTGTTTCTTTCAGTGTTTCAGATGATGCAGCTGAAGTAGCTGACGTAGCTGCACCTGAGGTCGTTGATTCGGACCCGCCTCCAGCTGACTGTGAAGAACTAGAGGACGAAAAAGAGGGAGAAGGAGAAGAGGACAATCCATATGACAATGAAAGGTGGGTACAGGAAATCATGTGCCCTACTTAGTAAGACATCTTGCATTTTTGGAGAGTTGGCTTTGAATGCAGGTCGTGAGCAAGGCCAAAACAAAATGTAAGTATAGTACAACTGTGTAATTTTCTTGCCACAGGGGAACTTTCAATCAAACCAAAAGGCAGAGTTTGGTGGTGTTGTGAAGTAGTGTTGAATCAAGGGGGTTTATTATTGCAGTCAGCTTCTCCCGCTGTACTTTCCTTGAGTTTTACCAAACATGTCTGCCTCTGTGAAAAACAAGGAGCAGTTTAACAGCAGTACAAACCTGTACAAACAAGGAATAAAACATTTTCACATTCAAATCTCCTCTAATGAAGTTTGGAGGACTCATGTTTTCTCAACTTTTTTTTCTCTGACAATTGAAGATCCAGATCCAGAACTTTCAGGGGGTGTTAACCTGGATCAAAAAAGTATCCACTGAGGTTTCCTCCTCTCCAAAAACTAAAAGCTCCTAAGATTTAAACCGGTACAAACAGGCAGCTTCACGTTGAAAATCCTCATATTGTTTGGCTGTCGCTAACATTTGCTTTGTTTGTCTCTCTGAGAGCTTTATATCCAGGCAATGACAACTCAAATCCTTTATCCAGTTCAAATATATATTTAAAAACAACCAAGATCTAAAAATTCTATGGTAAAAACGTAGCTTAAACTGCATAAAAGTAAACTTTGGGCAGACAACCACAACTCTACATGCTCTAAGGCAGCGGTTCCCAACCTGTGGCATTGCAAGTGGGCCACCAAATAATTTTTTATTTTGTACAGGCTAAAGACACAAACATGGACATAACAATAACATATAGGAGATGACATTCCCATCTCAGACAAAAACAAAACAGAAGAAACAAAGATACAGTCAGTAGGATCACTTCAACATTTCACAAACAAAAATAGGATGATAACCAAATACCACCAAAAACACAACATGGCAAGATTTCCCATTTCATGGCGTGTTGAGCCACCCTTTGATTTTTTGTGGCAATCATTTTTTCCAAAAGAAATTGTATTCATAATCTACTCTTCAAACACCTTAAATTAAGATTACTCCTTGATTGACTTTTAAAATATGTATTTTAGCCAGAAGAATAGTTGTATTTATTAACTGTGTGCGGTCTTCATCTAAAAGCCCAAATAAAATATTAAATGGTGTAAATGTAAATTCAATATTTGCCGCCAAATAATTTGCAAAACATTATAATGTGTGGAAACATTTTCATTATTAAGATCTTTTTTTATTTGAAGCTCTTTTCCTTTCTCTTTCTCGATCCTCCTTAGCAACGGTCATTACAGTCCTTGACAGCGGTCTGTTCTACTGGATTTACAACGCGTCACATGTTCTGAATTGACCAATCAGAACTTTATTTAGCCTCTGTATTTTTTATGGTTGAATGTGGGCCGCAAAAACATTTTTTATTCTTAAGTGGGCCCTGAGTTGAAAAAGGTTGGGAACCGCTGCTCTAAGGGGATACGTTGGTGACTATGGGCAGCTAAATAACATTGACTTTATCCTTGATTGAATGTCTCTAGGTTTTGAAATTGATATTTTTGGAAGCCGATGGAATATTAGTAGTAGTATTATATTCAACAAAATATATTGCCAAGTTCTTGTCATTTAAGACATTTTATTGTGGAAATGTTAAATATTAAACCTTCAAAAGACAAATGAGAATTTGTGACCCCTAAACACACATCAACATTTTTCTTTTGTTCCCACAGCAGTCCTCCAATTGTTCTGGAGAACACTTCCAATGTTCACACTGCAGGTACTAATACCCAAACTGACCAAGCTCTGAGTCCTCCTGCTGCTCACGGCACAGAGCATCTGGAGACCAACACGTCGCACGAGCTGGAAGAGCAGGTGAGGCTCTCAGATAACACGTGAACTACTTTCCTTTTGTCTACCCAGAGAGGTGACCCAGCGCTAATTGTTCTCATTATCTTTGACAGGATCCCAGCCCCCCTACCATCACAGGCACAGATAGCAGCGCGAGCAGCAAAGACCCCGAGGACATCCCCACCTTTGATGAGTGGTCGCGCAAGATGATGGAGATGGAGAATGGAAAGAGTAAGATTACAAAGTGTGAGGATCCAGGATTCCTTTGTGTGGGTACTGGATTTAAAAAAAACCTTTTGTTATGTTTTCCTCTAAATAGCTCGGTCTACTCATACTTCTAACAACGGGGCTCCTCCTGTGGTGAAGAAAGTCCAGAAGAACTTCAATAACTACGCCTCAGTGGAGTGTGGAGCTAAGATCCTTGGTTCTAACCCAGAAGCAAAGGTACTGTAAAGGAAATAGGGTCAGCAGGAAATCAGGTTGTGTCCTCATTAAAGAACACGTAGACATACTTTTCAAGTTATGGTGATTTATATAGGATGTCGTTTGAACAATGATACAATAAGGGAAGTAAATGCAAGAAATTACAATTCAATAATTTTACACAACTATGTAAATATATAGATTGATAGATGTAATTACAAAGTTACAATGAACTGGTAGCATACTGCTCTCCATTAGGTTTACAAGCCATTGCTGGCAAATATATGAAAGGTTACCAAACAATCATTAGGACTTTACAGGATTACAGAATAGTGCAGAGATGAAAGATTTGTGTAGGCCGACCCGGAAGTGAGCATCACAAGGGCTCCCACGACAAAAAATAAATCCGATTTTTCAATAGGATTTCGATATATTGCAGAAAAAAAGATATCTGTCGTTTTGGACATTTGGATAATCTGCACATATTAACACCACTTGATGATTTATGATATTTACAGGTTCAAACCCCACTGCAGTCAGCATGTCGTTGTGTCCCTGGGCAAGACACTTCACCCCAAATTGCTCCTGTGGTGATTGCCCACAGTATTGAGTATGTAAGTCGCTTTGGATAAAAGCGTCTAACAAGTAACATGTGATGTAATGTGACTTCACATCACCCAGGCTAAGCTAAAAGGCGGCTAATGTTAGGTACAGTAGTCTCATTTAGTCACTTGTTGGCAACCGCTGCTTTTACCATGCATAGAAGCTTCGGACATTGTGGGGTTTCTTTATGTAACTACAGATATTATGTAAGGCATCTGTCTATAAAACATTGACTTCGAAAGGGGGAGGGTAACCAGGGTGTCCGCGGGGTCTTAAAAAGTATTAAAAGTTGATAAATCAATTTAGCGAAGATTAAGGCTATCAAAAAGTATTAAAAAGTATTAAACAGCGTCTTCCAAGGTATTACATGTTGTAGCTTGTTTTCAATAAGTATATAAATTGTCCAAAGAGGTTGTATTCTACAGTTTGCCTGAATGTAATCATTGCGTAGGTGTGTAGTGTGATTCTGTGTAGTTTATTTATGGCATCCCGTTGGATTTGACGTCATCTGAACAGGACATCGCACGCTCACTGCTTGATAGCGCGAAGGTCCGTTTACGCCGGTTGTTAAACAACATCGTTATGGGGAAATGCAAATTGCGTCCAAATGGTTGGAAGATAAGGAGGAAGGACAATCAATACTTTATATAGTAAATGTGAGGTAAAGTGTGTCGCCAATGTAACTGGTTGAAACTCCAAGTGGCGATGAGGTCTTAAAATGTATGGAAAGGGTCTTAAAAAAGGTCTTACTGTAAAAGGTATTACATTTGACTTCAGGATTCCTGCATATACCCTGGTAACGGAGGTGGAGAAATCCTTACACATTCCTGTGTTTTTAGGACTCTCCTGCACCAAATGAGGCAAAACAAATCACCGCCAAAATGAAGAAACAAAACTTAAAAAGCAATACAAATCCAAACATATCAAACGTGTGGAATTGACAGTACAGTTACAACAATATGCATGATGCTACTGAGCAATCTGTCGACAAAACAAGCTCATATTGATTATTTTCTAAATGTCTTCCATACAGAGCACTTCGGCCATATTGAAGGAGAACATGGACATGTACATGTTAAACCCCTGCAGTAATAAAATCTGGTGCGTAGTGTTCATGCATCTCCTGCTTTCTATCCAAAGATGCAACCTCCACCTTATTGTTGAAGCCTGTCTTTTTCTTCCCAGGTTCATCATCGAGCTCTGTGAGCCCATCCAGGTGAAGCAGCTGGACATCGCTAACTTTGAGCTGTTCTCCTCCACTCCCAAAGACTTCCTTGTCTCCATCAGTGACAGGTATGCACTGCAACTATCATACATACCATATTTACTGTGGTGGAAACTTCTGTGTAGCAATGCAGGAGGAGTCACCGACTCAAAAGGAGACACGGGGAGAGCTGGAGCTTTGATGTCAAACACTGATGGGTTTATTTAGGAGCTTCGGCCGGACAATTCACAAAACAAGTCAAAGAGTCAGAGGTTCTGACTTCACGGTAGAGTTGCCTCGTCAATTCTGAAGAACTCTACCCCAGACCCGTGTATTTAGCTAGTTCAGAGAGAATAATCAACATTGTGCATAACAAGATAGAATCATAACACCTCTATCAGCTAACGTCAACAGGCAGGAACAGGGAGACAGAACACTGAGAGCACAGCAGCCAAGGTTACAGGTGTGTGTGCTCAGTCAGGACAGTATGAACGGATAAACTGGGTCAAAGTTATGGACCTTGGAAAATATTTCCCCAACATTTACCAGTGTATTACCAAGCCTTTTGACAATTTGCCCCAGAGTGTGTTTCATTATGGAAAAAAGCATCATAAATAATTAATATTTGAATTGATCAAAACCTGTATTCTTATAATGTCCATCCCAAAGTGTAATCCTGAACTCTTAACCTGATATCCACTGACTATGTGGTGAACCTCCTCCTGTAGATATCCAACAAACAAGTGGCTGAAGCTGGGAACCTTCCACGCCCGGGATGAACGCACAGTCCAGAGCTTCCCTTTGGACGAGCATCTGTATGCTAAATATGTGAAGGTGAGCTTTTCAGTCACACTACCATACAGTACACCAGTCTCCATTCTATGAGCTAAAGTAGAGCAGATGAATCTCTGTTATCTCTTGATGCATGAAAGCATTTAACTGTTTCTGTACACTTTCTCTCTGAATCTAATTGAATGAACATTTTGACTCTTAACCCGTAGAGTGGTCTGTAGATTACACTGTATTATAGTATGTCTTTACCTCTAAAGCCATATTCTAAATATAATCCGCCGCACATTTAACATGTAACTCATTTGGTTTTACATTCAAGATTTGGATGAAATGAAACCATCATAAACGTTTTGGTCCTGTTTGAAATGCACGTGTATATCTCTTTAATTCTTTTCTCTTTTTTCCCCTGTCTCTCTTGCTTCAGATGTTCACCAAGTACATAAAGGTTAGCCTGCTTTTCTTGTAGAGGTCTGTGGTTGTGTGACTTGAATAGCAACACTAAGGGAAGGGTGTATCTTGTGGTGTGATCAACTCTGAACAGATTCACTTGCTATGCTATGCTAGCTGCTAACTTCAAGAAATACTCTTTGAATACAATCATACCAAACATAATGAGACTATGCTAACCCATCAGCTGTTGTTGTGTGATAAAGCATACGTACATGAAATGATCTATGTTCCTCAGATGTACTCACATTGGTCTCTAAATGCTTAATTTGAGCCTTTTATACTGATTCACAGTCAAACTAAATCACGGCTCTGCTGTTTTGTAAATAATGAAACCACTGCGGCAGGTGTTAATCTGTGTGTGGTTAAATACAGCAGCCATTTCAATTCTAATATTTCAATATATTTTTCCTTTTCTTTTAGGTCGAGCTGGTCTCTCACTTTGGCTCTGAACATTTCTGTCCCCTCAGTCTCATAAGGTATATACAATTGTTTTTTTTCATTCTTAATTTGAAGTCACATAGTATTTATATTACAGTTTGCACTACTAATTACTAGGTTGGTCTATACAGTGGTTCATCTTTTTCTTATTTCCATTATAAACACACACAACCAAAGCACAAAAAAACCCAGGAAGTATACAAAAGGATGACATTGTTTCCAGTACAGAAAATCCAATTATAATATTGTACCCTTCATCTACTGATGGGATGTCTGGGTTATGCTACTATGCTGTTAATATTTATGCAAAGATAAGTTAACTAACAAATTCCAACATTCATTTTATTTTGATTTGAATATTGTAAGCAAGCCCAGAGGAAGTGAGCCGCCTGTTAAAGCAAATGTAAGTACTGTAGATGCCAAAAGGTGGTACTACACTGACTTACATTGGGAAAGAGACGTCTGTAAACCAGTGCAATTTTAAGAAACATTTCAGATATATTTTGGGCCAGTATGTGCCTCTACTAGAGAAACAGAGGTGAAAGGGGCAGACAGAGGGGATGACATTGCCTGAAACGTTCTGCGCACTCGGGAGTTGAACCCAGATACTTGGCAGTGGACAGCGCTAGGGGCCGCCAGCTCTAACTTCTGATCTGGTGGCCCAAATAATACTTTTTTTGAGTTATCGAAACTGAGCAAAGAACGGCAAATTTGAGGCGGGGCTTAAGGAAAACTCAAGTGCGCTTGCTCTATGGGCCCAAGTCCCCGGATGATTCGGGAACCAATGAATCTACAGTCTGTCCATTTTGGCTTAATGCGTAACTTTCATAGAAATTAACGGGGCCCCGCCTCCAAAATGTATCCAGTATACATCCATGATTGTTGGTTGTCTAGACCAGGGGTTCCCAAAGATGATTACAAAATAAAAATTGAAAATTAAAAACATTTAATCTTTTTTTTATCAATTTTTTTAATTAATAATAACGTGTGCATAGACATTTTTCAGGGCGGACTGGCCATATGTAGAATTTCCCTGTAGCTAGGCTCCCCCCGTTGACAATCCACTAGCGCAGTGTTTCTCAAACTTTTTCATACCAAGGACACTTAACCAATAAAAAAACACTCACGGACCACCTAACTCCACAAATATCCAAAAATTAAAAAAAAAAAAAAGCATAAATATGCCTTATATAGGTATGGTCCTGCACTATATTATTAAAATATAGCATGATAGGTCCACTTTAAGCTCGCTCCATTGCGGAGATATTCCCGCGAGAGTGCGGAAAACTTAAATAAAATAATGTATTCTAACACTAGGCTTAAAGTGTCTTTTCTAATGATGGCTTGAACTGCATGATCTCTAGATGGTGTCAAGTGTTATTAGGTAATATTTAGCAGGTGGTCATGCTCAGTTCACATTCCCCCTTCCTCACACTATCAAGCCTATGGTGGGAATCAGGAGGGCGAATGCAGCTGTTGCTTCCACTTCTGCAACATGTATAGATAAATCTGGCTGTAGCCTGAGCACAAAAGCTGCTTCAGTAATGGAAACTGTTGAAGAAAAGGAGCAGCTGTTGGAGGATTCTCCGACACTGTGTGACCTGTGTGTGTTGTGGGCTTTAGTCCGGATCACTTTAAGTGGCTAGTGAGATCAGATGTCACTGTTACATGAGCTTGGTTCAAGAATGATTCTGATGTATTTTATTTTGACAGAGTGTTTGGCACAAGCATGGTGGAAGAGTACGAGGAGATAGCCGACCCCGCAGAGAGACCCGATGACCAGGATGATGATTTGGGTGAGAACTGAGAACAACATCGCAACTGGAGAATGCACTGATTGTTAATTTTAGGCTAGTTTCGTTTTCTGACCCTTTTTAGGACTATAATTGACAGAATAAACAAACATTTGTATTCTTATTTTTTAAGAAAACATTGAAATTCAATTGTTTTGTTCACAAAAAACCATTTCCAAAACTTCAGTAAGTACCTTTCTCACTCAGACAAATCTATAATGTAAAAAAATGCTCCAGGCTAGGCTAACATTTTTTCATGTTTTACTTTCCCAGGAGAAAACGGTTGCAACAACATATTTATTTAACGACATACCTAATGCTTTTACATCAAAACTCCCACTATGACATAACAAAATATTAAAGATTAAAAAAATAGTACAATAAAATAAGTTACAAAAAATGACTACCAACTTCGTATTTGCAGTTGCATCCATATTTCCATTAAATATCACACTTTAAATATGTGTTTAAGGAATAATGTAAAATCATTTAAAACGATAAAATATATATATTACTACCAGCGACCAAACATTCAGTATATTTGTAGATAATGAATTTGATACATTTGGAAATGTTCGCAGCATGCAAGACACACTATATATAAATATGTAATTCCCCCATTGAGTTGAGGCTTAGAAGTTATGTGTATGGTCACTACACAAAACCATGGTTTGACTTTCACATGTATCTTTGTGCTTTGAATGTTCCTGCAAGTGATTGATGTGTGTTTTTAAAGTGCCCTGCTCCTTACAGATGATCCTGCTGGACACACGCCTGGAGAAGTCGAGTTATCCAACAATCTGATTGGATCAGCAAAGGGTAAATATAGCAAACACGGACTTCGCCTGCAAAACGATTCCTACTGTACAATCAACGTGGATCGCTGTATTGACTCTGCTCTTTACATTTTCTCCTCAGATGTCATTTTAAACATGGTAAATAATATTGCTGTCAATGTTCTCGGCGGAGGCCAAGAGATGCAAGGTATGACCCGTGTATTCAGCTCTGACTTCAACTTTCTTTAAGGAGATAGCATCACTACTTTTAATATGTTGGCCTTGACTACTGTGGGTTGTAATTATTTATGTGTACACTCTCAAGGTTATCTTTTTGAATTTGTAGGCAACATTTCATCTCTGGAAGTGAACACGACCGAGCCATCACCTATACTTGAAACCACCTCCCAAACTACAGACCTCACTATAGTGTAAGTTCATCTAAAAACATCTTTCATAAGAAATACAAAAAACACAACAGTTTGATGAGGAGACAATACCACCCCATTCAAGCAAATCATACATATAACACTTTTGAAGTAATAAATGAAATACAATAGTTATTCAAATACAAAACAGAGTCAGTTTGATCTTTCATAATTCCTAATGGACAAACCAAACATTTTGAAGGACATTTTTTATTATTAAAATCATAAAATTCATTACATTTGTATTAAAACAATCTGCCACCTCACACATAACATAAATTAATCAATTAATTAATAAAAAATAGTACAGTGACAACAATAATAAATGACAACAAAATGGAGCCAATAGGATCTTTTCTAATACTTAATCCCTTAACCATAACTCGCAGATGCCTTATTGTGCACTTAACTTGATTTGATGTACTTTTTTTCTCCTCCTTCTGTAGTCCTCAATCTGAAGTGGAAGATATCTTACCAGACCCTGATAGCCCTGCCACTGAAGCCCCATCTTCAGAGACACCCACTGCTGAAACAATCGAACAAGAGCTCCCCCCAGTGGAGGAAAGTATCATCGTTCCCTTAGAGAAAAATGCGGAGGAACACATCAGCTCTACCATCACCCTTCTGGATAAGGAGGAGGAGCCCGATGAAGAAAAAGAGAAAAAGGATGAACGACAGCAAGAGATCCAGATCTACTGTTCACTGCTTTCTTCTTGCTCTTGCGCTGCTTCCCTGCAGGAGTATCTCCACCAGCAGTGTGCCGTCCTGCTGTCCAGGAAAAGGAAATGCCAAACGGTGAACAGAAAGCAAGTGTTTCCTCCCATCCAAACACCTTCCTGGCAACTTCCTTTATCCCCCTCTGCCTCCCCTGAACCTCACATTGAGGAACATCAGCCCCATGAAGAAGAACAAGCGTCTGAACAGGAGCCAGAGAGCGGCGCAGAAACACCAGGCACCGACGAAGAATCTCACAAAGAGTCTATGTCGGAACCTCCTCTGCTGGAGCCCAGTCAAACCTCCATCCTCCCTACTGTCGCTGATTCATCCCCTGCCAAACCAACTCCCATTGTGGAGACACCACAGATGTCTTCTGAGGAGCCAGAGAAGAGCCAGGATGTGCTGGATGAAGAGAAAATAGAGCCTTCAGATTCTCTCACTAGCTCCATCTTTGTAAAACCAAGCATGGACGATGCCTCTGTGGCACCAACAGAAGAAAAGTCTGACGTTGAGGCATCCAAAACGGAGATAAAAGCCCCTATCGAAACCCAAGATACGACGGATGAATCCCAAGTTCTTCAACCCATCCCCTCCCCTCATTTAGACCCTGACCCCCCCATAGTACCTGAAGGTGGTGACATTGAAGCTCAAGACTCTGTTATCGAACTAGATGGTGGTCACATAGTCGTCACAGAAACAAAACTAGAGGATTTTGCGGAGGATTTCTCGTCATCATCAGGTGGAAAGCCGGCCGCCTCGGACATCTACGCAGAGACCCCCAACGGCACGGAGCCGAACGGGAACCCTGTGCACGGATCCAGCCAGAAGGAGTCTGTGTTCATGAGGCTCAACAACCGCATCAAGGCTCTGGAGATGAACATGTCGCTCAGCGGGCGCTACCTGGAGCAGCTCAGCCAGAGGTGAGAAACAGGGATGTAGACAAAAGGAAGCAGCTTATGGTTGTCGTCCTTCTTGTATAGACTGAGTAGAGGGCCATATTGCGCAGCTAACTTTTGTTTTTACAATTGATTTATCTGCCAGGTTATTTCTTGATTGATCATGTGGTCTATAAAATAGTGAAAAATCCAAGATTACTTTAGGTAATTGATTTGATTTGTCGATTGACAAGATAATAATCACCAACTGTTAAGAGTAGTTAGTAGAGTGTTAAGTGTTAGTGTTAAGAAAATGTTCATGCCGTTTCAGCCCTGTGAAGACATTACATTGGTCTGTTTAAACTCTTCTCAAATGTTTTTAAATGCAACTGATGTTTTTAACTATTTGTTTGTTTATTCAATATATATATTTTTTAATTGGCAGATTAGTGGATGAGGAAAATATAATTGTCGATTGCGGTCCTAGATTTCATTAAATGTTTTGTTAATTCAGTCCAAAACCTAAAGAATATCAGTTGAAAACAGCAATTTTCTGCCTCTTTTGCATTAAAATGGTCAATGGTCTGATCGCCTGACCATTGCAGCTATAATATCAGGATTTCTTCTACCATGTTTCGATTCAAGGTACCGAAAGCAGATGGATGAGATGCAGAAGGCTTTCAACCAAACCATCATTAAACTCCAGAACACCTCCAGAATAGCAGAGGAGCAGGTGAGCAGTGAAGGGAGAACATGTTACTCCAGGTAGATGCCATGAGGGATAATCGCTTTTTGTCAGACTCTTAAATAATTATCCCAAAATCAGTTGGTTAAAAAGGGAATTGGTTGAAACAGTGCCTGTACCAAACCAATATCTTTTTATAAAATAAATGTTCATTTTTAAAAATAAATCTACTAGGTCAGCGGTTCCCAACCTGTGGGCCGCGGCCCCCTAGTGGTCCGCGAAGGCATTGCAAGTGGGCAGCCAAATATAATAATTATCTTTTAATTATTTTTTTTAATTTAAAAAAGAAAAGAAAAATGTGTACAGGCTAAAGACACAAACATGGACATAACAATAACATATAGGAGATGCCATTCCCATCCCAGAAAAACAAAACAAAAACAGAAGAAACAAAGATAGTATGAAGATGGTAGGATCACTTCAACATTTCACAAACAAAAATAGGTTGATAACCAAATACCACCAAAAACACAACATGGCAAGCATATTTATTGTTCCTTTAATCCCACTCTTCATTAGAGCTAATTATTTCCCATTTCATGGCGTGTTGAGCCACCCTTTGATTTTTTGTGGCAATCATTTTTTCCAAAAGAAATTGTATTCATAATCTACTCTTCAAACACCTTAAATTAAGATGACTCCTTGATTGACTTTTAAAATATGTATTTTAGCCAGAAGAATAGTTGTATTTATTAACTGTGTGCGGTCTTCATCTAAAAGCCCAAATAAAATATTAAATGGTGTAAATGTAAATTCAATATTTGCCGCCAAATAATTTGCAAAACATTATAATTTGTGTGGAAACATTTACATTATTAAGATTTTTTTTTAAATTTTAACCTCTTTTCCTTTCTCTTACTCGATCCTCCTTAGCAACGGTCATTACAGTCCTTGACAGCGGTCTGTTCTACTGGATTTACAACGTGTCACATGTTCTGAATTGAATCAGAACTTTATTTAGCCTCTGTATTGTTTATGGTTGAATGTGGGTCGCACATTTTTTTTTTATTCATTGAGTTGAAAAAGGTTGGGAACCGCTGTACTCGGTTATTATTAAAAAGGCCTAAACAGCGACACCTGCACGACAGACAAAAGGGGAAAGGGCAGCCTGTGTGAAGTGGTGGTGGTGGTGGGCAGAGGAGGGCGGGACCTCTTATATTATTCTCTATCTAGTTTTGCTGACGAAATATCAAACATAATTTAACTTAATTTTGGATATTCTACTCTGTGATCTTCCAAAACACAATATTAACATTTTGAAGGTCCAATGGTAATTTCTAAAATTCATTTGAAGTTCTCTACCCATGTATTGCACCTGCTTGTGACACACTGGCAGTAATGCAATAGATAGATTTATAGGTTCAAGGTTCAAGGTTCAAGGTTCTTTATTGTCAAACTGACATAGCTACAGAGTAATTATGTTGTTGAAAATCTTATGTCACAGGCTTCTCCAACAATGCAACATAATAACAATACAGATAGCAAGAGCAATACAAAAAGTGAGCATGTGGAATAGTGCAGTACGAGTCTATATACAAGTTATTGGAATGATATATATTAGATATTAGATACATATTACTGAGTAGCAGATGAATGTTTTTGAAGTTGTTTCAGCAGTTCAATTGTTTAACAGTCTCACTGCCCGCGGGAAGCAACTGTCTCCGAATCTTCTTGTCTTTGCCAGGATGCTGCGTAGCATCATCCTGGTAGCATACCAGAACAAAAATGGCAAATGGCAAACTATTTTTTTAATGCATCACTGAAAGAAAATACATTTTATTAAGGATGTTTAACAGTCAAATTGTCTTTTTATCAGTTTTACGTTTCATTTCATGCAGAGCCTGCAGTGATTTATGTTACACTAACATGCCACATGCTGGTAAATGTGGTTAATATATTTTCATCATTCACCAGCCAAAAAAAACAGAGGCTGGTACATTTTGAACATTCACTGGAACAAACAAATAAAATAAATAAATTAAGCACCATACTTGTAAGCTATGGTTTTACTTATTTTCCTTCTAATATTTAGTTGAACATAGCCATCTAGCATAAACAAACATCACGCCTGTGGGGGAAACTTCTGAAGCAATTGGAAACAGGACTCCGAGAGACACGATGGAGAGCTGGAGCTTTGATGGCAAACACTGACGGTTTATTTGGAGCTTCGGCCGGAGAATTCACAAGACATGTCACGGGCCACGGTTTGACCACACGGTTGAGATGCCACAATCAATTCTGAAGAACTCTTCTGTAGTTCCAGGTTTGAACTAGTTCAGAGTGTAATAATCAACATTCTTTATCAGCGAGACTAAACAAATATGGACCCTGAATCTAACTAGAGCTGTCGTCCATAGAAAAGAATGTGCGCCAGGGAACCTACGCTCCTAAAAAGAAGGGCTTCTAGATGTCCCTGAACAGTAAACTACCTCATGGCGGCTTGTGCTCGGTCATAAGCTGGCAACAACAATGCGCCCAAGCTGCCCCTCCTTAAGAGAGATAGCAGCAATACCCAAGGCCGTAGACCTATGCCATGTCAAAGGTTGAATACCTAAGCAAATGATTCCCCAACAACGCCATTAGTTGGTTTTCCACCTGTCCTCTCGAGTTTCACGAGTCACCAGCCTCCACCGTACCTTCACATTGCATGAATGATGTGAATGTGTGTGTAGTGCTTAATATGTTGTCCTTCTGCCCCCCAGGACCAGCGTCAGACTGACTCCATTCAGGTGCTGCAGGGCCAGCTGGAGAACGTGACTCAGCTGGTTCTCAACCTGTCCGTCAGAGTGAGCCAGCTGCATAGTGACGTAGGTACTGCTGCAGGCACAAAGCCTTCGTCTGTAATCAGGAGCTTTTACAGCCTCATATGAAACCAAGTAAATATACTCTTTTGGTTTACAAAAGAGATTAGTCATCACTCATCAGCATGATACATGGGTCAGGGGTTTTTAGGATATTTTTTTGGCAGAGCGAGGCAGGGGTTATGGGAGAAAGAGAGGTATGACATTCAAAACAAGTCCCTAGGCTGAAATCTGACCTGTAACGTAGCAGTTACGGGTCAATAGAGAGCTGTAGAGATGATGTTGTTTTTGTAGGCCGACCTGGTTGTTAGCATCACAAGGGCTCCTTTCACAAAAAGCTATCAGATTTTTACATTGGTCTTTTTAATATTGCAGAAAATAAGATCTGTGACTAAAACACGTTCTGATACTTACTTGTTCAGCAGGATCATTTCCACATATGTACACCATTTATACGATTTAAAAATAAATAAAAATGTAAGCATAAATAAAGCACAGAAGTAAAATGCTAACGTTGGGCTATAAACAAACTACACCACTGCTTAGCTAAAGGCATCTAATGTTGGGCATGATGACATTAAGAAGTTTCATTTAGCCGCCCTTTATCTACCACTTTTTTATGACACATAGAAGCTTCGGACATTCACCAGTAGGGTATTTAGTGACATATTTTATAGAACAAAATATGAAAATCTCTTAAGCTTGTGTTAAACACAGACTTCCTTTCAGGTTTAAAACAACAAAAAAACTATTGACTTTAAGAGAACCAAAAGTAGTAAAATGCTAACTCATTTTCGAGGTTTAGGACTCATTACTGCACCACTCTCTCTGTCACCACTTGGCTACGACATGCTCCAACCCTGACAAAAATTGGAAAAATGTCTTTTCAGCTACTGAATGGGTTGACATTTTACTGATTTAACTTCTGAAATACAATTAATTTTATTCCCAGTATTTTTCTGCCTCTAGTTTTTAGTCCCATCAGACGTTGCTGCTGTTGTGCTAATGATGTAATGGATGTTCTATCTCTAGGTGTCAGACAGGCAGAACTACCTGCTGCTGTCTCTGCTGCTGTGTCTGTGCCTCGGCCTGCTGCTGTGTGCCAACCACTGCCGCTTCTCCGATGATCCTCCAACCTCAGACCCAGAGCCCCCCCCCATCCAAGAGCTACACCTTCTGCTGTCCTGAGAGGTAACAAGACATCAGGCTTTCTGCGGAAAAATATGAAAAAGGACAAATCTTTCAAAAGATTCACAGGGGTAGAGGCCTTTACACACTATGGGCTTTTTTGGGCTTGTATGTCAATATCTGTTGTGGAGATTTGTCCTTGTACAAACAAAACAAAAAAATGAACTAAAAATCAAACTGCAGCTCAAACATCAGGGGCCTCATTTATAAACGTTGCGTACGCTCAAAAGATGGCGTACGCCAGTTTCTAAGCAATGTTTGCGATTTATAAAAAACAAACTTGACGGGAAAATTTGCACACTCTGACCCATCCGTACACGGTACGCACAAAAACAGGAGAGACGAGAAACTGCGACACCGCTGACAGAAGGAAGAATGGAGAGAAATATGTGGAAATAATACCATAAATAAAATGTTACCTCTCATTTATCATATATGAAGAATTCATTTTCAAAAATGTATTAAAGCCAATCTTAAAATGATTAAGCAAACGCCGGTTTGAGACTCCTCAGTGCACACAAAAACATAACTTGGAGAAATAGATAAATACGGAAATGTTATTGATCACCCCTCGATTATGTTCTCCTGTTAAGAAATGTATTCTCATGAATGATGCGGTAAACAGAAGGACAGAATTACTTTAAACTGACGCCGTTTTGCATTTCTATAGGTTGTATAGATACAACCTAGAGATTTAACATGATAGTATAATTAAGCAATAGCTCACGACAGGCCGTGGTATATGCTCATTATATCACAGCTAAGGGGCGTGGTTCGGCCCGACGCGAAGCGGAGGGTCGAACCACGCCCCTTAGCTGTGATATAATGAGCATATATCACGGCCTGAAGTGAGCTATTGCTTTTATAAAACGGTTACCAAGTGTGGCAATATGAAAGAAAAATACACACTCTAATTTAAATAGTTTTTATTAGTAAATAATGATGTTCAAAATAAAATAGTCCCTCTGTTGCCTTCTGCACGAAACATAGTGCGAGGTGGTTGCTATGCAACAACACTAACAACAGCTAGCGAACATATTAGACAGAGAGCGTTGATCCATTATTTGGCTATTCATTTACATTAATTTGTATGTTGCCGTTTATTGTGCACCCACTGAAAAACTGTCCAGCATCAGTAGCATGGCTTACGTGGTTACTTGTATAGGCTGAGGTTGTTCAAGGCTGTTGCTTGGCGTGGCGAGAATATTGCTCCACTTTCTCCGGTCCCCGAGATTCGGCTTCCAGTAGCTCTGGAGAGAGCTTTCGCACCTGTGGCCACTAACGGTCATAATTTCTCTGCTTTGTTTCAAGACCCGCATCAGAAAGCTTTTGAATGGTGATACTTTTCCAGTTGGTCTACCTGCTCTTCACGTAGCTCTACATGTCGTCGTTTAGGTGCTTTTTGTTCTGGAGATAGGCACTGCTCAATCCACTCCTCCATAGTAAGACCCCCCCCCCCCCCCCCGGAGGTCGAAGTTAATCTTAAATGTTTTTGCGGACCTTTTTGATTACAGATTTGAAAACATCGTTGCTTGCTTTAAAAGTAGCACAATTCATTTTGTCAAACCTTGGAAAGTATCTAAATATCCCTGCCCTAATGCCAAAGGAACTGCACACTGAATATGTTTTTGCCGTTTGATGTCTATGTCTGGACAGTTGCGTAAAAAGGAGGGTTTCTGCCCCGTTACTTCTCCGCTGCTTTCTTGTTCCAGTTTGAAAAGCAAACTGCAGGCAGTTTGCTTTTCAGCCCAACTGTATACTGTTTATCTCAGACGCGGAGGGATACTGAGTTGTTGTGAAAAGTAACTTACAATTCTACCCGTGGTATACGCTCAGTATACCACGGCTAAGAACCAATCAGATTGCTTGATTTTACTTGTCCGTTTTATAAACTATAAATATATAATATATATAGTATATAAAACCATGCTCGTATATATACGAGCATGGTTTTATATACCATCATGTTTTATGCCGTTCGCCAATACTTGATAAGTCGCTCGTAAAACACAGGAGGTATGGAAACTAAGAACACCATATGTGGTAAATTGTACAGCTGATATAACACAACACATTAGTTGTATTTCCTTTAACTGGTGGATAGAGTTGCTGCGGGGGGGTTGAGATGCACAGGCTGCAGTGGAGACGCTGCGCAGAGCTGATTGACAGCTGGAACACAAACCACCAAATAAAATAAAACGATTCAGATCCAGTCGTCATGACTCCACTCCGGAGGGATTCCCCGATCATTTCTTACAGTTTCTCATCATTGGGGGTTCTCCTGTCCCCGGTACAAACACACTTTTTTCGGACCACTTATTTTTTTTTGACGATCCGACCTCCATGCTGCTACTCTGGTTCAAACTGCATCCACCAAACAATGTGATTTGTCTCCACCTCCCCAAAAGAACCAAATTCGGACACGTTGTGAAATGTATTTTTTAGCTGTTCTGTCGTTATTTCCTGCGATCTTCTTCATGCAGTCAGTCAAAATGAATATTAATACGGGGCGTTTCTTTGACTATCTATAGGCAAACATGGGCGTTACGTGAAGCGCGCAAAAGCTGTGCTGCATTTCGAGTTGATTATTTGTGTGCGTATTTATTTGCTTTGTCCTACGTAAGCCACCTTCCCACGTGAATCCTATGCAAAGTTTTATAAATGAGGCCCCTGGACACGCAGGTTAAAAGTCCATTATCCAGGCAAGAATTGTATTTGTTCATTTCATTTCCCTTCAACGATCAAACATAAAAATAACAGTTTTTCTTTTACGTCCTCTCTTGCGATGGAAAGAAAACACCTTTCTACCAATACATACCAAACCCCCGGTGCCTGATGCCAAAACAGAAGCTTAAACAACTAGTCAAATGATGATCAAATGACTATGTACAAAACTGATATAAAAATCTGAAGGCCTTTTTTTGCTTTCTCACTGTGAAATAAGGCATTAACCAATCACCTTGGGCGTAACGGGTCCCTTTTCGTGTGTCTTTATGATAATTAAAAAACAACACAGACTCTATAATCTGAAGATTTTGAAATCTTTATCCTCCAAACAGATCCCAGATCCACTCCTTCCATTGTTTCCTTTCACAATAAAACCCCTACACTACTGTATAATGATCACAGTATTTTTCATGTATTTATTCAGAAAAAACCCTTACCTGGTTTGCCTTTTTTCGCATGTTTCTGTCGTTTATTCACCCTGCTGTGTGAAGACCTTAAAAATGAAATGCTCAGATGTATCTCTGCATACGGTACATGGAGGCTTAGAAACATCTCTAATGGGTAGGGTAAAAGTGAATAAGCGCTGAGTGGCATCTCCAAATGGGCTGTTAGAGCTAATGGCAGAGGTTACCGCGCCTCGAACGGCTCCTTCTCATTAAGCCAGTTTATTAATACGATTAATCATCAAGAGAATCGCAGCTTGAATCTTAAGTGACGACACAGTCGTGACTCATGTCCAATAAAGGTACTACATGCCGTCTATCCGTTCAACCGTTTCTGTTTCCTTTATAGGCAGTTCTCTTCCTGTGATGAGAAGGGCCTGAAGAGGAGTGCATCCTATCCACTCTTACAATCACTTATCGCTGAAGGTACGTTTCTACAACACGAGGTCTATCAGGGTAATGATATGTTTTTTTTCGTATATGATCAATGGAGTTATGAACCATACTTTATAATGGGGAAACTAACCTGTTTTTTGTCTTACAGGCCCCGACATGCTGCAGGCCGGGGAGACACAGAGTCTTTGTCCAGCTAACAGAAAGGTGTGTAAAGATGATTTTATTGTGGAACTATCCAGAACTTTCAGGTCTGCTTTCTGTCCCTAGAGTCCAAATAAAACACAGAGAAGCAGCGTTTAGTTATAATGCTCCATATATCTGGAACCATCTCTCATGATCTCTGTGTGTGGGAGAGAAACTCCCTCTGGAGGGAACTTTGGGATTTTAGCCTTTGCAGACCATTTACATGCACACAAACCTATATAACACACGACTACAGGAAAGGGAACATGCCAATAAGCATAAAAGGCCCTCTTTATATCAAAATACTTTTCGTATCTTACACTGCACTGTAACTTTTATTCTTGTATTTAATTTGAGCTTGTTTTATTTGTATACTTTTGGCTTTTCAGTAACTGTTTTTAAAAGTATTTTTATGTCATTTTATGTGTTTCTGTTGCACTATATCTTAATGCTTTTTTTTTGTAAAGCACTTTGAATTGCCCGTTGTTGAAATCTTCTATACGAATAAAGTTTTAAATACTGGTTGTAACAGTTCTCTCTCTTACCTTTCCCCTGCAGAGGAGACGTCGCAAGATGAAACCCTTGGAGAAAGTGGAGACTCTGAAACCTTCTTTCCACGCGGCAACAGAACTTTGTAACGGAGCCGTTGTATGTAACGGTGTCCCTGTCTCTACACACCCTATACCCTTCACCAAAAGATTACTTCAACCTATGTTCAGAGACTCGCCGTCAGAGGGCAGCTCGGAGGGGTCCTCACACTCCGACGACCCCTCCTTCTGTGGCATCACCACAGCTTGCAACCGAATCTGTGACGCGCTCCCGCAACCCAGGACGCGGGCGGAGAAGCGGGCGTTAAGACGCAGGCGTCCCAAGCCCAGCTGCGCCGTGGTGGACCTGATCCAGGTCCCACGCAGGGGCAGGGCCGATGAGATGCCCATCTCTACCATACACGACCTCATGAAGAGGCACACGGAGCAACGCTCTGGGACATATGGGGTTAATGTTCCCCTCTCAGGTCCTGTTTGACAGGACTCCACTCCTTCTCACTTACTCTTTCCAAAAGAGGGACGATGTTTTTTCAGTAGCCACAGGCAGCTTTGAGCTTCCATACGAGACAATCCCTTCACTTTGTTTCTTTGTTCATGTTCGCGTCAGATGTTTATATTTGTTAAACTAGAAAATCAAAGAAATGTCTTCCCAGCTTTCCATTAAAGCTTTTCTCTTTTGTTTGGAGTTATTGAGTCTGACTGTTGACCCTATACAAAATGATTTAATCTATATTTTACTCTTGACATGCTGCACACTGACCCTGTAGACAACCTCTCTAACGTGTAGAAATGACTGTCTTCAAACAACCATCTCAGTTTTCCATCAGTACCTTATCACTCTACTCATTCAGGTCTGACCTCTAAGTTAACCTGCTCTCAGGACATCGCCTCAACATTTCAAGAACAAGCAAAACACTTTTTCTGTTGTCAGTTCACGTTCAAAATAAAAGCAACATCTATTTGGACTCTAAAACCCTAAGATGACACATAAAAGGATTTAGGATTTGTATATTTAGTTGGGAAAATATACAATTCATACAAAAAACAGTATTTAAATGTTCTTTTGTAAGATATTAATCCATTGCACCTGAAAGAGAAAAACTCAAAACATGAAAGTATATCAATAAAGAAACACTTTTATTTTAGTGATACTGTAAACAGCAACAGGTGCTTGAATTAGCTTAAATGAAGGGTCCCCTCATCTTCAAAATGATGCTTGAAATATTCCAATTCCAAGCAGTTATTGAAACAAGAAACAGGAAGATTGAGTATTAGTGGCTTGTGTTTTTCTCAAATTGGTGTGTTTAACACTATGCAGAACACTGGAGTATGTTGGTTTCAAGAGGTTATCGGACAATTGGGGCAAGTGCACTATAACCCCACCTGTTGTAATCAGAAGGAAAAGTGTTGTAAGTGGTACTGAGTAATTTACCTTGCTTTTGTCATTCAATATTATTATACAATGTTAGGTTAGGTTACCGTCTTGCCGGATATGACTGTTTTAAAATGTATTAATTAAATTTGGCCCCTAGCTTAGTGTGGGAAACTACCGTGCGCATGCGCAATGTCAAACAATGTGATGCCACCTGGAGATGATTGCCTGTCGCCACACTGCAATTTGATTGGCTGTGGACTATTTTCAAGAATAATTGCTTCAGTCTCCTTGATTTGCATTATCTTCTACAAACACATTTGAAAGTCTTCCTTTTGAGGAAAAACACTTTAAATAAAAACACCTATGTATCGACAAGCCGCAGACTTATAAGTTATGTTTTAAACCAAAACCATGGTCCAAAAAACAGTTTTAACAGAGAGGTTCTTCAGGGAAATGTAGCTTACTGCTAGCTTGCAAAAGGAATACGGTTTTGTTTTTTTCGTTGTGGTTTTTTCGCAGCAAATGGTACCTGTTGAAGAGCAGACTTTCTGGACTTCGAGTATCTTTCTTTGAGAGGATTACCAAAGATGAAAGCAGGAGGAAAACGCATTAACGTCGGGCTAGCTCTGGAGAGCCAACATAGCTACGTCACGTTGAGAACAGGTCTGATTATCACCCATGTGTGGTAATATTGCAGTCTGTCAAATTATGAAATGATGTTATGTTCTGGTATTGCATCTTTCCAAAGTAGTTGTTGCTCCACAATTTCCCTATATAAAAACACCAGTGCATGTTACACAGAAACCTACTGTAGACAATTCTCTGTAAACAAGATGGTTGGCCACAATGAAACGAACATGCAATCAACGTGCAATAACATGCTATTTGTATGCATCATATTGGATGAAATTGAACATTTGTTATTGTGGCTGAGAGACAGTGTAACTTTAGGAAATGTCAACTCTGCATATAAACATCATCCAAGTTATTATGCATGTTCTCGGCTCACATGTTGGTTATTACAGTAACTGGGAATTGGTAAAGGTCTGAATAGGGAACTGAGTAGAGATGCAACTGATGATTTGTCTTCATTATTGAGTAATCTGCCTATTATTTTGTAGATGAATCATATGGTCTATACAAAAAAGTAAGGAAATAGTGAAAAAGAATCCATCCAGTTTCTCAAAGTCCAAGGCGTTGTCTTAAAATGTCATGTTTTGTAAGTCTGAATCCCAAAGATATTGACATAAATATAATATAAACAGAGAACTAGCACATATCTATATTTACGAGTCTGAAAACAGCATTTTTCTAGCATTTTTGGATGGAGAATAACCTAGACGACTATTTGTCTGTTGATCGATTAGTCGATTAAAGGTGGGGTATGTAATTTTGGAGAAACCAGCTCGAGTGCGCTAGAATTTGAAAGTACACAACCGAAAAAATCTGCCTCTTCATTCAGACTTCCTTACAGAGCCCCTCCTCCAACACACAAGTTTGTGCAAGAGATGGAAGGCTGACAGGCAGGTAGGCCATCCAGTTATTTTAACCGGGCCGGCTCTTTTTACAGCACCACGGCTTCCACAGATGAAATATTTGTTTATGTATTTATTGTCAAAGCATTTCATATATTCTTTGCTATCGGGATGTTAAGAGCATTCCATGGAATATAACAAAAAGTGTTTCTGAAATAAATTACATACCCCACCTTTAACATAGATATTGTTGAGTTTTTTAGTTAGTAACAGTTTTTAGTACATTTGAGCTACAGTATGGCCCTCATTTCCTTTATGCAGCATATGGAAGATATATCTATATGACTCATGAGCCATCAGTTTCTGCATTATTCAATCATCTAAACTACATATTGTTACTGACACATTTACAATGAATGATGAATACACATTTGCACTTGCAATTTCAGTAATGATGCTAAACAGTTAACATTTCAAATAAGACCCAGGAGGTTTTGAGCTTTGATAGCTGAAAGCATTCACCCACTGAGTACTGTGACCTTGTGCTTGTGCTGTTTGTGTTGACTTGACTACCAGATGCAGTATGTGTTATTTACAGGAATATGAGCAGCACAGTAAATAGTGCTTGGTTACATAAAAACATGAGGTAAATTTAACTGTGGGGAAAAAAGACCAGCATTATGGCTGACATCTCTCATCAGGTCACAGATTATGGTGTAACATGTTTTATATATGACATGCATATGCTCTGCTTTGATTGGTTTAGTTGCTTTGAACTGATTTTCATGTTTTTATTTGGAAACATCATTTTGCAAATCCAAGCTGCATAAACAGAAACACACACACTTCAAATACACAACATGCTCACCACACAGTGCAGTAACAAAATCACATAAGCACTCGTACAAATATTCATGCACCAATGTTTATATTGAAGCTGAAATAATTGGGATTTTTTGTTTTCTTGACATAAATAAGACCGTTTGGTCTGCAGGTGACAAACAACTGAACTTCTTAATCTCTCTTATGTAAGTGTGTTGTTGCTTTGTCCAGCAGGGGGCAGTGTAATCTTTGGCTAAACCTTCTTTGCATGATTTTCGATCCTACCCTCACCATTATTCTCCATGTGATGAGTCATTACTCAGGATGGAAGTAAATTAGTTCAAGGGCTAACACTGCTCTCCACCATGCATATTCATCTGCTTTTGTTTTTGCCACTGAAACTGCTCCCCCTAATTATCATATTTGTGTTTCTTTTATTAAAAATGCACTTGTTAGACTCTGGAGTATTCAGACCAAACTGTGCACAGTGTACATTTGAAGTGTCTCATGGAAAACAGAACACTGGCTGGCTTGTTTGAAGACAGCATCTTTTGATGCGAGGCATTTATCATATGGCTCCAGCTGTGTATTTCAAGTCAGGGGGAAAACAACTGGATTAATTCCAATACTTTTACACACACTGTCTCTTTCTCGCTGCGGTCAGGCACGGTCAGAGCTTGTGAGAAATTAGGTTAAAACCTCTTTATTCATCTGACCCGGTTGAGTAGCAGGAGCCTTTCAGAGATAAGCGTGCCTGATGCTCTTTTTTCCCCCTCATTTTGTTAACAGAATTCCTAGGTTTCTCTTTCCCCTGCCTCTCTCCAAAGATTATCTGTAAATGCACGGCTGCAATCCTCTTTTCCCGGGCACTTCATCCGTGGTCTGTCATGCACGGAATATATTCTCAGTGTGATTTTGTATATTTGTATTTCGGTATATAAAGGTGTCTGCTCTTAATTCTTTGGCCTTATCCTTTAAACACAGAAAAAACAAGGCCTTATTCTTGGCAGGCATGTATTTTTAACACTATAAATGCTTATTTTACCCATAAAGGTCATTTTAATGTCATGGGAAATATCACTTACCCTGTGAAAACAGATGTGTTATGTTCTCTGTTCATGTGTTGTATTCTGTTATTTTCAGCACTCTGCTATTACCTATAGTCTCGGTATGTTTTTTTATGTAACCCTACATTCATAAAGCCCAAAGATGAGTGCCTATTCTTTTTGTAGTCGACTGTCACCAACACATCTGTCCCTGAGTTTCCACCTCTGTGGGTCCTTTCTCATCCATCCACACCTACTCCAGGCTTGCTATTGACTTTACATGCAGCTGCAGAGCCTGTCAAATTCACCTTGTGTTCTGTTTAAACACGGCATTAGAAAATAACCCTGTTGAGATGTCATTAGGCTTATCTTGGTTTGGGTACAAATCTGAACCACGGTATATAGAAGAGAACAGGCAGTAGAATCGGGGAGTATAGAGTGGTGCAGGGATGCTGAACTGGAAATTAGCATCGTGAGACCTCTACAACAAGTCAAGATTTATGATACTTGCACCTTTTTGTCAGTAGGATTCCCCCACATATTAACACCACTTTTATAATTGTTGAAGCGTCAATGCAATCACCAGAAGTAAAAAGCTTTCGTTTGGCCTTTAAACGATCTACATGTCTTCACGTAGCCTGCTAAGCTAAAGGCGGATTCGTTTTTTCCGCAATGAAATCTAGTAGTCTAAAGGCCCGGACACACCAAGCTGACACCAAAGAACTGACACAGACGGACCCCGACTATTGCGTCGCCTCGCGTCTTGGCCATGTGTCGCACTGGAACACACCGCAAAGACTTCAGCCGACGGCCAATAAGCACGTACGAACTGTGCATGCGTGAGTGGCAATAACTCTCCTTACCAGCAGGCGGCGGTAGTGTGTATTCGTCATTCAAAAGAGGCAACAACCGGAAGACAGACTGCGTGATACACCGAGAGAAGAAGAACAGACTGCGTGATATAAAC